AATTTTGCGGGTTTCATTTTTATTACACGATGTTATCCCTTCACCGTGGAAATCAATCGTGAACATTTGTTGAGTACGTATTTCATTAAAAAAATTGGTACCCGCCTGAGATTCGAACACCGGTGCACCGCTCAACATGAATGCACCGGACGTCTTATCCGTTAGGCCACGACGACTTCAACTAATCGGACCTTTTGAAGTTGACGAGAATTTGCGCTGAAAGATTCCTCCGTCTTGTTTGACCGACGTTCGAAAAAGCTGCCGCATCGATTAGTGTAGCCAAATGCAGCTTAAGTTTTTATAAAGATGCCTCCAATGCTATTTTTGATATCATAATAAGTGACGTAATCTGAATTGATTATTATGAAATCCCTAAACCAGAAGCGGATCTTCTCAGTGGCCGTTTCCTTCTCAAGAATTTTTAACAAAAGTAAAGATAGGAAGGAGATGAAGATGATTGCCTCGCTCTTCTCGCTCGCCACAATTGTGCTAGAAGATATAAAAAATATCACTTCGAAGTGGTAAACTAATATTTGTTTGTTCGCTGCTTTGGAAAAAGTTGGAAATCAGTGTCATTAAAGTAGGATTCTCGCACACAAAGATAATGCGTTAGCACACTAAGCAATCGTATTTTTGAGTATTTTTGAGTTGGGTTGATGACTCATCCTGCATTTAGCATCATGCGATTTTTATTTATTTCCAAAAACAAAAGAAAAGCTCGGGGAATCGGATTTTAAGACATCAAAAAAGCGATCAATGAAGCAAGAGCGTTTGAAAAAATTACTGTGGAGATTTAAAAAAAATAGAGAAACCTATTATTTTTCTTAAGGAATTCATACACAATGGTATTTAGAATGTTAAATAAATTACAGGTATTTTAAAAAAAACAATAATAAAATTGTTATACGTTGTGACTGCTTTATGTATTGTTTCTTTCATTATGCTCGGTTGAGTAGTTGAAACGTGCAAGCGTAACAAAAAACTTTCGTGCTTATAACATTTGTATTAATTTTAAGTATTTGATAGAAGTGTGACACTATCTTATAATGATATACGAAAACTGGGTTTTAAAATAGGTACGCTGGTATCGCATGTGACCGTGATCTCGCAACACCAACATTCCTTTTAAATTTGTCATCGAATTTAAATGAACATTGTGCAAGTACTGTACTTTCTTAGAGTTTCGCAATCACAGAAATAACTCAAATTTCTGTTACGATTTAATCTCGCTGTTATTATTATCATGATATTGTTTGAGGCGTTTCGAGTGACCAGGACAAAAAAAGTAAAGTTTTTGAAATATGGGGTTCTGGCACATGCAAATTTCAGTACGGAAATTAATACTAATTTGACTGCTAAGTACTAATAAGCCTTGCGCCCATTGAAGTGAAACTTCTTTAGGCACGTTGAGAGTAAAGTTTAACTCGCGACAGATTCGTTACGACTATAGAGAAAAGATACAATTTAGGACGAGCAAGAGTGAGAAAATAGAGAGTGTCTGGCGAACCACTCGACCTTGGAGAGAGGGAGAAACCGAGCTAGGTCGTTTCTCATACACATTCTGTTTATGGGTGTCGGCCACTAGAGGGCTTGTTATTAGTCTCTCATTACTCCTAGCAGTAACATATTAACTCTATAATCTAAATAAACCTTATATTTTATTTTTAATACAGGATTTTTATTTTTTTTCTTTGTTTAGTTTAAAATATACATAAATGTTGAAGAGATTTCTCTAACACTCAGCATTCCCTATTACAAGAGAAATTTGATTTAAGGATGAAAAATGAATAAAACCGCAATACTACACAAAGCAAAAGAAGTTTCACTTCTTTCACGTGCATCAAGTTGCATGCGCACCTTTTATTTATTAATTTAACCATCACCATGATTCCTACAAAATAATATACAGTGCAAACACAAGATTAAACAACTCAAACCGTAAAACTTTCCTCAAAAAAATCTGCACTAATTGGTTTTCCTTCATTAATTTTGTCCAGAAATTGCGGGAAGAAAATGAAATTTGGGATAAACAAATTTGTTTCTCTAAATATTCTTTGCAAACTAGTGACAGCCGACCGGTGTATGATGCATTGTTGAACCCATTTTTTTCCTAAAAACCTTTTGCCTAACCTGGCTACAAGCGCCATCTGTTTGTATCAATGTGAACTTACTAAAATGAATTGCGGGAGCTTGCTTGAAAGCTTTCATTTCAACATTTTATATGTATTTCTAATTAAGAAACAACCCGATAGATGTCGTATAAATATTATTATAGACAACTATGTAATGAACAATTGATTAACAGCGTGACACTATTTACCTTATTAAAGAATTTACAAACTTTTCTTTAATTAATGTTTTTAGTTAAAATTTCTACTTTGTCGAATACGATGAAGAATTCGACGTACAACCAAGCCCATAGACACATCCACTAATTAATTAAATTAATTATGATCCGGTGGTAGATTCAGCGAAGAACTGCTCTTGCTAGGGCTAGTCGCGTAGTCGGAATAGCCCGTAGCATACGCAAGTTGCATACCAACCAACAATTAGGTAAGGAAAAAAACAAACGGAAGACAGTATAAATTGACTGTACATCATTCCTGAATTTTAGGAAATTCACTCGTAAGGAACATGCGTGCATAAAGCAAATGAGGTTTAACCATCGATTTTTTTATTTACTTTCGGTTCACAAATCAATATTCAAACAGAAAAATATGAAACCAGTTATCTTTTGAAATCCTTAATAATAAAGATAAAGAATTAATTTTTGTTCAGTAAAAATATAATGTGTAGAAAGTAAATATTGAATTTAAATTTGGAATTTTTCTCTCAGTATGGCTTTCGCCTTTATTTTTCCTGGTGTACTTTTCCATTGCGATCTGCTTTCCTTGGATAAAATGGTTTTGTTCGGATCTGAGTGAGCTCTTGACTCAGCCAATAGTCTGGTTCAGACCCAACCCATTAAGTCTCATCGTCTATTCCTATTTCACACTAACTTGTCTGGACAAGAAGCAGATAGGTATAAATAAAATTTTACTCTATAGTTTATTACATTTGATTTAGCATCACATTATAAATATATACTTGATTATCTGGTTTTCAAGTCTTATACTTTAAATAACATTTTATGTCACAGCAATAAGAGCGTGGTTACAAAAAAAGCATATTGATAGGTTGTTGTAGATTTTTATTATTTTTATTTTGTACATTTATTTTATTCTTATTTGTTACTTAAAATTAGTTCTAAAATAATAGCTAAGATGATTTTTTGAAAAGTGAAATAATCTACAGCGCGATTAATCTGCATTTCAATGCGGTACGAAATAATATATCGAAAATATTCGTTATGATTGAAAAAGTTAACCGATTTTCTTTCCTATTTTACCACACATACCAACATAAACTAAATTAGTCAAATCGTAAAATATCAAACATCAAGTGACTCATTTTTAATTTAACTTTTTCATAAGTGGCAAGGGCTTTAATATCTTATGGAATAAATTAATAGATTTCGGAATACAATAATGTGAGAAACTGGAAAGCTCGGGCATTGAATTATGATAATCATTTTAATTAACATTGCGTAACGTAACGGTCTTTGACTCCACGCTTTTGAGTTGCGAGTTAAAACTTCCATAATATAAAACTAGCAAAATTCTAATACAAATTCAAAGTTACACAGACATATTATACCGAAACCCGTATTTTGATACGCAATCTAAACCAAATATGTAATTAATGAGTATTATTTCGCTCCGACGTGTATAAAAACTATACCTAATTAAACTAATCTAAAGTACCTAAACGGGTACATGATTCTTAAACATTAAGTTTGGTCGAAAACAGGAATGTGATAAACGTTTGACTAGAATTTGCTAAAACTTAACATCGACCCACCTATATGTGTAAACATAACATTGATTAACATTTTCACTCGAGAACGCGAACTGTCTGTAGGCCCTATTACTCGAAATTCACTACAAAATGAGATCTTACAAATAAATTAAAAACAACACACATTGTATAATACAAATGAAAACATATAAAAGATTTCACAACACGCCTATTTATAGGTTAGATCAGTGATTCTCAACCACTGTTCCGCGGCACTTTTGTGTGCCGCCAAATTTCAAAAGTGTGCCGCCAAATTTACGAATATATAATAATATTAATATTATTAAACTATATCATTTGAAAAGAAAAATATTTTAAACATGAATATATATTTAAAACCACAAAAAAAAAATTATAGTATATTATAGTTTATTTCGTATATTAATTTTTTTTGATAAACTACATATTTATGCAGTGTGTTGTAGTAAGTAAATAATTTTTCTTTTTTTTTTTGTGTGCCGCCAAATTTTGAAATTGTTAAATATGTGCCGCAACAAAAAAAAGGTTGAGAATCACTGGGTTAGATATTCCATTTTATCGTCTACCAAAAATATCGACGCAACCAGCATGTTCCATAAATAATTTAGTGGGAATTTATTTAATACATGTTTCATAATACACGTGACATGTGCGCTTTCATTTCCAATAATAACCTTATGGAAAATATTTTTGGCCGCAGTAAACAATTTGGAACCAACAGAGATCAGTGTGTAAAACTAAATTATTTTAAAGTTCACTCAAAAAACTACAATACAGAATTTAACATTAAACAATTATTTTTAAAATAAATAACGCTAAATCTAAAGAAGTATTTTACATAAATAATATGAGATCAACTAACGATTATTTTAACTATGATCCTTTTATTAGAAAAAAAAAAAACGTTTACGGCATCTCAGCATCACGTGTGGGTTGATTTTTTTTTAAATCGGTGGGCTTTCTTGTGTTGGCACCCAGGTGTGCATTTATTTCTCTTTGTTTTTTTTTTTCAAAACCTGAATATATTACTTTTCTTCGCTTCATACGATTGCAACCTCGTTTAAAATTTAGAATTTCTCTATTTTACAAAATTAAAAGTTAAACTATGATATAATTTCGTACCATCAGAAACGTACGTCCTGAACATCTGTTGGTGTATCCGGGAGCTCGGTGTGTTCCGGTGTGGTATGTTTGTGTGCTTGGGAAACTCTCGTTCTTGGTTCTTGTGGTTGAGTCTCTCTAGCGAGTACTCGCTCGACATGCCGCGCTACCAGCTCAGCTGCTGCAGCAGGAGTTCTCGTCAGCGCACACAGCTCGTTGACAGACATTCGAACTCGCAATCCACGAGCCGCAGCCGTTATGCAAGCCACCGCAACCATGGATGGCGNCGGTGTGGTTTGTTTGTGTGCTTGGGAAACTCTCGTTCTTGGTTCTTGTGGTTGAGTCTCTCTAGCGAGTACTCGCTCGACATGCCGCGCTACCAGCTCAGCTGCTGCAGCAGGAGTTCTCGTCAGCGCACACAGCTCGTTGACAGACATTCGAACTCGCAATCCACGAGCCGCAGCCGTTATGCAAGCCACCGCAACCATGGATGGCGGGACCAGCAGAAATTCCGTTTCTATAATGACAATAAAAAACTCATGTTAAGTGAATAGTAATCTATATATTAATACGTGAAGCAAAAACTTTGTACCCCTTTTTACGAAAATTGCGCGGATGGAGGAGTATAAAATTTCTCACTTCTAGAGAATATACAGAAGGAGTGCACAATGCTAATATATTTTTAAAATAGTTCATAAAAGATACTTTAAATCAATAAAGAAAACATTACACACACTACCATGTATTTGACACAACACATACATAAAAATATACTCTTTGTTTCCTATCAATTGGGAAACTTTTGTTATTGTTTAGTCTGTGGTCGAATTGAAAATAGATTAAATATTATTTGTCTTTAATATTATTGATTTATAGTGCAGTTTTGGCGAATGCTGTTATTATATTATCGAAATATAATAGTGTTTGACAATATAACCATAATAATAATAGTATAAATAAATAAACCAAATAATAAACCATATATATAAATAAACTTATAATTTCAATTAATTATAGTCGAATCTCGACTACCGCGGGGCCACTAGTACATTTTCCAAAAATGTTCGAAATTGCGTTAATATGCGTAAACAATTGGTATCGCCAGTGTTTTTCTCATAAATACAGTCAAAAGAGCGTAGTTCAGTTTAACTTTTTTTTTTGTTTTCCTTTTTCTTGACTTCTATTAACAAAATTAATACGGTAAATAATTTCATCTTACTTCAAAAGACAGATAATGTAACTGGTAAAAAATAAAAAATTAATGTTGCAAATATGATTAATATTAAACATATTACATGTGAAACCTTTAAAACACTCTCCTGTAAAATTAGTAAGTTTTTAGATTATACAGTTTTAATGCGAGAAGACGTTATATCGTTTAGTGGTTTTTTTTAAACTTAAAAAAAAACCACTAGTGTAGCAAACCGAACTAACAATTTATTTTATAATATTTTTTCCGTTGATACAGGATATTCGAGCGAATTTATAAAATGAATACATTGTCATCGGTCATTGATACGTGTGCAAAGGAGAAACCCGAAATCCATACAAACTTGGGCCTGGCGTTACAGTGCTAGAATTTGGACATAAATTACAATACCTAAGAAGGTTTCATGAGCCCAATTTTCAGGTCTCCCAGCAATGGCCAACATGGTAAAATCAGACAATGTTTACATTGTAGGTTATGTTTATTGTTCGAGATGTTTTAATAAAAAACGATATTTTTAAGGCTGTTTCCTACTAAAGATGAGTAATTTTTTACGAAACCTGTTGCAGCAACAAGTTGCTTTGAAAATAAAAATGGAACCTGTTACGAGAAATCATGCATTAGGCTGTTTACGTAAACGAACGAAAGCCAAAATTAAAAACAACGTAATGCGAAACGCGCTGCGCACGAATTGATTTTTTAAGAGATTTTATGACCTTGTAACTAGGACCTTTAGGTCAGTCTTATTTTAATTTCAATGAAAACTTTTTTATCGATCCCATTTTAGGGATGCTCTAATTCTAACCCACACGTTTGTGGAGCTAGTTACGTATATTGAAATAAGTGTTGCAGATGTTTACAAAGATTGTTTAAAACAAAAAATAGAATTCAACTTATTTTCTACACTTGGCCATTGTCAATGAAGCTAAGATTTCAATAGGTTAATCAAGCAAAATAGACGAATTTTTTGGTACATATCCCATTCGTGTAACGCTTAGGCCCAGAATGGGGTTTCTCCTTTTGCGAAGTTAATCGGGCGTTTTAAAGTCGTTGAAAATGACATTTAATGAATTCGTTATCGATATTTTTTATGGACACGCCTTAATTTTTTTCAAATTAAGTAAACATTCATTATTTTTTTACCAGAGATTATATTAGATAAACATATTGTGTTTTTTTAAAACTACTTATTAACGTAAGCTTATTAAACTACTTACTAAGGTATTTACAAAAAGTACATTCTAAATAACCCACTCAACAACAAAATGGTCGGTAAGGTCCACGCGTGCGTACCAAAGCATTTTGTTTTTTTACATCATCAACCACGTGGATCATTTCGACAGACATAAACAACGAAATAATAAAAAGATTTCCAATTACGTATCAACTTTTAAGAAAATTACGTATAAACGATTATAAAACTCAACTATAACAAAATAAAATATATATTGGTTTTGTCTGAATCATGTTATAGGTAAAAAAAAACTTGGGATCACGGTAAAGACACATCTGTTGCGAGATACAGACAGGTGGCTCGGACACCTTGCGTTTAGCGTCCTTGGATCTTTCGTATGACACGACGTCTTTACTCATATGTTTCAATGAAACTAAAGTTTTAATTTTCAAGACAATCTCACAAATATGAAATACGAAAGTCATGGAAAAGAAGAAAAAAAACATGGTGTAACATTTTGCACAATAACCGCGTTCTATTGTTCGTTCGAGAATATAAGGAAGGAGAATCGTACAGCTGCCAGATTTGTGCATTTCGCCCCGTCTGCATCTTTGTGTGGGTACCTACCTGGGGACAATGCGCGGAGAATAATGGTAATTTACATCTTAAGTCGTCTAGTTAGGGGCGCAGCTGCGATTTCGCAAATTCAAGAAGGGACCCCATTGTACTGATCTAATGTACAGTGAGTGAATTGACCTTCGATCAAACGACATCTAATCAATATTTTTTATTAAAACATTTAGCCGTTAGCCACATCATTTTCCAACAAAGTTTTTTATTAATTTATATACATAATCACAACATACACACATACAACGCTATCGATCACATTCAACATAAAGTAAGACTCCCCGCGCATTAGGCTGCCAATGCATATTCGTCTTGCCAAATGTTAGTTAAATGACACAGCATACTTGTACAGTCTCTTGTATTAAAAAATACCGATCTGGGTATGTATGAACATCTTTAAAATTGTTATAGAATAAGCCTTTTGAATGCCGTTCTAGAAAAAGAGGATGAATCGAATTTCGGTAGGCAGCGGCTTGGCTCTGCCCCTGGCATTGCTGAAGTCCATGGGCGACGGTAACCACTCACCATCAGGTGGGCCGTATGCTCGTCTGCCGACAAGGGTAATAAAAAAAAATCCAGTGTCTTTTCTTTGCTTTGTGTTTTTCACGAAACAAAGTCCAAATCGCTCAACGAAAAGATCATAAATTGGCGTCGATTGGCTGCTATAATTGGCTGCTCAAATATTTTGGTTACTTTCGTCCGCCTAGTGCGCGGGGAGCCTTAGGTGCTTAGGTATTGTTCAGAGCGAACGGTATCTATTGAAGCGTTGCAATGTAACGTAATTTATACTACGTGTATGAGTTCGAAGTCGCGGCCCACGACGTCGGGCTAAGACGGCAGATGTGAAGACACCTGGCGCGACCCTTCCGCTTGCACCTCCACGGTGCTCGCGGTGTAAACACAGGGTCACTGCCCACCTACGATCCCCTCCTTCCCCCGATCGTGCCCTCGTAAGCGACTTATACACACTTAATGAAAAAAAAAACGAACCTATTACTGCATCACGCAAACATTACTACATAGTTTTTTTTTTTAAACTGACTATTTTAATTAAAGTGAGCACTGGCCAGTACGGAGCTAGTGTACATACATAACGAGGTCATAATTTTTCTGAACTAATCATTCGAATGCTCTATTAATCATGATTTTAAATTTAAGTAATCATTTATTTACCTAATAACAATAGCTCAACAAAAAAAAACCATTTTGTAACTAAGCAATTAAAAAGGCTACTTTAAGTTCAATAACGTAGTCCGTGATAAGATCAGAGATGTAGAAGATATAGAGTCACGAATCTCAATCCTGAGGAGATCTAGCACGAAGCAGGAAGGAATAAAAATTGTCGTGAGCTAAGGGAAAAGACACATGTACTCTCATACATCTCAGGTGATGCACGTGCTCATATCCTGGAGGCAGGTAAGGAAATACGTACTTCACACGTGCCCGCGAACAACTTTCACGATGAATGAATAAGATTCGAAGAATGAAAGCTTAAAATGTTGCCGCCCTCAAAATCTACCGCGCTCTGCTATGCGCTGCTAGTTCAAGCCTAAACCACCTGCTAGTGAATTCATGGCTGGGGCGAGTTCAGGCTTTCACCTCATGTCTCAAGGTGGACGATGGTATTCACGTTTGGAAGTGCTCTTTGACTATTAAACATCAAGCGAGCTGTGAGCTAGTTAATACATTTAATGGAATAAAAAATCGGTTTTATGAAAATTACAAAATCAGCAGATTTTTTTTATTTTGTCATTTACTTAATAACACTTCGATCGTTAGGCTAGGTACATGAATGATTCAACTACGCAGCTTATAAAGGAATTTCTCTTATTGGTGTTTAATTGAAACAAGTATTATAAATAATAGAGTATTATCATTAGAGTATGGCACAGTGTTTTAGTTTTTGAAAGACAGTACGAAAATAATTACAATATTAGGAGAAATTATCCTACGTCATAATTTCAAAATAAAAACGTCAAAGAAAGCAAAGTAATCCATGTTCTTTTTTAACTTCACAGACATTCCACAACAACGAGGTCTCAAAGAGTTGAGTGAGATACTAATGTAATATAACTCGTAATCTGCAGTGAGTGAGAAGTGTATTTAATTTTCGAGCTATAGTGTCGAGTAACCTCGCCTCGTATTTAAAGCAGGGGCAGGTCGCGTATCAGCACTGATCTCAGCAGCGTGTTCAGCGGACCGATTCGATCCGTTGCGCGACAGGTTGCCTGTCAGTTGGAGACTCATACCAAACATCTGCTGTGTCGAAGCACAATTCGGGTATACGTATTATCCAAGACACCCCCGCGTCTTACCCTTACCTAATTGCCACAAACGTACATTGCCACTGACGTTTAACTGACTCCGGGAACCGTTAGGAGAAACCTGTCAACGCCACCCCAAATAGTGAATCCTGATCTAATACAAACAATGCAAAAATGCAGGGGTTGCGAATAGACTACGTCTAATTGTGCGAAACCAGTTCTGCCATTAAATTTCACATGCATTTAGTGTTTATGGCGTTTTTATGTCTTATTTTAAACAGGGTACGTATAAGTGAAGTTGCTCGTAAATAAATTATTCGAAGATATCATGTAAATTACTATTTCATTGACCTGGTGACGTAGCTGTTGCGTATTAAGAAGCGGAAATATGAAAGGAACAAAAATTACTTTAGAAGAACATGAAGATGTACAACTAGTATCGAGTTAGACAGGGTCGAGGTACGCCAGGTGCGCCCCGAGACGACTCCTTTGTCGACGACCTTTTGTCGTCGAACTCGGGACAGGGATTCGGGAGCTGTACAATGGCCGCGGGAAGTCTTCGAGCTTTGTACTCTAGTCAGCTGTCGCCTTCGGTCCCCTGTCTGCCAAACTACACAACTCTCCGAGGACAACTATTGCGATGCTAACGTAACATATTCTTAAGTAACGCCGTAGTGTGCACTTCGTACCTCGCTGTCAGAGTTCATAGTTCATAGCCATGTTTTACTTTTCCGTTACAAATATCAATTAAAAGATTCAATAGAAAATTTCGCACCTCACAAAAACCGTTTTGTGTTAACCCAATAATTGTTGTATTTTTAATAGAAATCAAAGGTTAGAAAATAAAACCCCTAATAATAAACGAAGACGAAGGAAGTTTATGGGTCAAGTAGTGTTATTACCCTTTCACACCTCCAGTAACGTATGCGGCACGATCAGTTACCGGCAATTATCCCACTTCCGGTAATTGAGACCGGGCGAACAAGATCCCCAAAAACTCCCAAGTTATTGTGAATATCATTTAACTTTACGAATATTTAAAAATCAATAAAAATACTTTGTTAATACAATTTTAATGGTACGAGTAATTATCATAGAATTGTTGATGTATTTTAAAGATTGCTTAAAAATTTCAATAAATAATAATATTAACGAATGCATTATTAAACAAACAACTTGATTAGTTTAAGGGTGGTCAGAATCTGTAATGACAAAAAACTAAAGGCGACTAAATCTACCCTCGCGGGTTCGAAGCTATAAATAACTAGTTATCTCAACCGATGGACCATACGGGCCATGAGGATGCTTTACAAACTTCTATCAAGTTACTATTTTTGATAGAAGCTTACTAAAGCTTTTCCAAATTTGTTGTTATTTAAAGTCACTAAAAAATAAAAATAAAATACATATCTCATACGATCGCGATTTAAAATCATTTGTTAGAATATCAAATGAAAGAGCCCGGCATATCAAAAATGTTTTGCCGATGTCCATGAACCGCGGAGCGTATATCGGAGTTTCGACCGCATCTTTCAATGATAGAAAGATACTATTTAAAGAAATAGATAATAAAAAAGATAATAAATTTTGATAGTCTGTTCAATTATTTTTAAACACGTTCAAAATTTTTATTGCGCTATAATAACGCCCCTTGTTTAAGAGCTCCAACATGGAGTCTACTTACCATGCATCTTCTTAGAAGACTTTCTAAATAAATTGATATCTTCGTGCAGATCAAAGAAAGAGAATATTAAACAGTTAGTAGACACAATTGAAACGACAGATGACTTACTACCATTTCCACAATTACGTATACGACAATCACTACAAAATGGCTCACTAATTGGTTATCAAGTGTTTAACTTCTTCAACATTCTTAAAATATTTTTGTTTAACACTAAGCCGCATTTAAATCATTTTACTATTTCATAATACGAGTATGTACTTACAGCTTACATTAACGAATTAATATTATGAACGTCAACCGAACTAAATGAGTAATGCAAAAACGACGACTTATTACTACAAATCGAGAATTGAATTTGGCTACATATACTTCCAACAACACTAACAGAACATCAGTTACATTATAAACAGTACAGGTCAACGTATAAGCAATACCAGTAACATACTAATGAAGCGTATTTCTTTCTTTTTTTCTATTACGATGATCGTGCAAGCGAAACCCACCGAGGGTAGAACTAAATATCAAAGGGCATTGATGGTCATTCGTATTAGACATGATACCCGTAACGTATTTAGAAAAAGCTGCATCGCCTTCTGCTGGTCACCATTAAAACATAAAAGGAACTTAACACATATTATAAATACGAAGCTATGAACTTCGAAAACAACAAAATCGCTTGCGACCTAAACATGACAATCAAAATCTTGTTTGTAAAAATTACCGACTACAGTCTAGATTGTGTTTAAATCAATTTCAGAAGAGCTTCTTTATTTTGGTCAATAATAAGACACTCTTATTTTTTTCTTAGACTTTTTTAAAAACAGCATACGAACTAACTTTGATGTTCTTAGTAGACTCATAGACAACATGACGTCAAGCGAGTACTGGAACCACAACAATGTGAGTGCCATCGTCGACTTTGAGACAATAGTTCCAAGTCTTACTTGTATTGGAAAACGATGTCTTTAACTTTCGGCCCAAACAGCTTCGCGGCAAATATAGACTACCACCCGTACTGTACGAGCTTACGATACACTTTTAGTAGCGGTGGCGTAAAACACTTCTTTAAGGTTGAAGTGAAAGTTAAATAGTAGCTTACAATATAAACTAAGGTGAACACACTACGGACGGTTGAAGAAGAAGTAGTAATTATTGCAACAACTGTCCAAACCAGCTGAGATGTATCATATCATTGCATTGTAACAACGCCCTAATATTATAAATAGTACGTGCTCAAAAAACCCTCTATTACCAGTTAATTCAAATCATCTTTATATAGAAGCGCTTAAACTTATTTACATGATTACTGAAGGAGCGCCGCGACAGTTTAATGCTTTCTAAATAATAATAAATAAAAAATTCTTTATAAGCAAGAGCACGTGTCCATACCATTAATTTCAACGTGTTTCATTGAACTGGTTATATAAAATGAATAATGAAAAGGGATTTAACGGAGAGGACTGAGGACTGTATAGAAATCCAGTCGTACAACGATTACAATTAAAATAACTGCACATTTGACAATAGGAGGGCTTGGGGTCAGTACGGGAAGGGTGCGCGAACGCAAGGTGTGCGCGTTATCAGTGCATTGAGGGCCATGTGCGCGTTCCGACACACGCGTACCTACAACCCCTGAATGCTTTTACAGCCTTCGAACTACGTCCTGTTGACCGCACGCACACACGCAATTTTCATTTCTAAACAAAGAGACTCCCTACTCATTAAAATCTATATATTAATACGTGAAGCAAAAACTTTGTATCCCTTTTTACGAAAATTGCGCGGACGGAGGAGTATGAAATTTTCCACACTTAAGACAAGAAGTGCACAATGCTATTTTTTTTTTTAAATAATGCATAAAAGATACATTAAATCAATAAAGAAAACATCACACACACTACATATCATGTATTTGACGCACACACGCATGCATACTATTTATTGTCAAACTTTTGTTCTTGACGTCTGTGGTCAAATTGAGAATAGATTAAATATTGATTGTCGTTATTCATATTTTTTTAGATTGTAACCTTGGCAAAATTTGTGATTATAGAAGTATAAAATACAATCATAATAGTGTACAAACTTACAATTCCAATTAATTATAGTCAAATTTCGACTACTGCGGGACCTCTAGTACTATTGAATGCTCGAGGAGTTGGTACCTACTTTTGGCGCGTTGGCGAGAGAATTGACACGAATGTTTATCGATTAATGTTAATTAGCGCAAAGGAGGAAGTAAATTACGCCCGCATTCAAGCGAGTACAACAAAGCATTAAATAATTTTTACGTATTGGAATATCGAATATTTATTTTTGCTTGCCAGCTAAAATGTGTCGCAGTCACTTCATGCCAACATTTACAGCTTCGGTTATCTTATCTAAACATTGCCTATATACCTGGATTTACAACCTTGCTAGCGAAAGCGCTAATACTATTTAAATGCATTATTATGAAATTTTAATCGAAGTATTATATTCCAAAAATAAACAAACCTGTATAACAGACAGAAGTTAAGGTGAGGGCGTGTGTCCGAATTAACGAATTGCTTCTGCCCCACGGTACCCTGGCCAAAAATGGTTCCACGAAGTCAAACGCTGTTGCCACTGAAAGCTGCCAATTCAACCTCTGGAGCAGCATAATCTCCCATTGCTAAAACAAACAAAACATCCTTGAATTATAGTATCTAATATATGTATATAGGTTTGATTACTTATCATCGATTATTTTAACCATTTCATTAAGTCATAATATGTCAATTTGTGATTGAACGAAGCTTTAGTTAGCGTTATAAATAGTCCTATTTCAAAGGTCTTTTAGTCTAGTTTCAAACATCGGTCTACTTGATTAGGTGTATATATTCGAAACATAAATTTTATGTTCAAATAAAGAAATATACGTATGTATTTCATACTAGATGTTAAATACAATGCTCAAATGTTTCGAACGGAAATGTTATTTAAGCTTACGGTTCGGAATTCTTGATACGGAAATAATATAAGAAAACCAGACGTATTAAATAAAATCAAAAGCGTGTGAATGAAGGTGCCTATCTATTTCCATTATGAGTTGAATCGTAACCGTCATACCCAATGAAACGGACGGAAACCGCAAAAATAGCGAATTGCATTACAATTACTTAAAGAAAGGGTCCTCTTCATAATACGTAAGTGCATGATAACTCAGTGCAACGGAATTCCTGTTTTGCTGTTTTAAATCGTGTGCTAAAAGTTATTAACTAATAAACAAATACATAATAAATACCTCTTTGTCACTGAATGAGTATCGATTATGTGTAAACACAATTCCTTGGTTCAGTCGAAAGATATCAATAAATGAGGGTTAATGGCATCAGCCTAATCTATATTTAGAAGTTGAACAAACATTATTAAAACCTTGTTCTCGTTAAGATAAGTAGGATTGTAATAATACAAGACGATAATTGAAAATACTAAAACATTTTATACGTGAAAGTTAACAGAATATATATATGTATTCTTCTATATATCTCTTCTATATATGTATATACAAAAATGAATTGTTGTTCGTTAGTCTCACTAAAACTCGAGAACGGCTGGACCGATTTGGCTACTTTTGGTTTTGAATTACATGTGGAAGTTCATAGAAGATTTAAAAGGTAGATATATATGAAAATGCTCGAAATTAAATAAAAATAACAATTTTATTTTTCCTTTGGTGAGTCCCCCGTCGGACGGATTCCTTTTGTTTGTTTTAAGATTATTTTATACAAAATTTTAGGTCTTTTATTTATCGAATGAGGCACTCCAAAGTCTGCCGAGTTAGCTTGTATCAAATAATTATTAACGAAGTATCGGATTTTTTTAAGTTCATTAAAAAAAGAAATTGGTTACGCTATTTGAATTGTTAAAAGTCAAGTATGGGAAACTCGTACGTACGAATAAGCCCGCACCATATGACATCATTACATATGCGATAGTATGCGTATCGTATGATCAACCGAATTAATAGCAAGGAAGAAACGACATACGGTAGGTAGTCTTTAGGAACGTCGAAACAAATTCTCACGGTCCTTCTCCAATTCAACATAATTCCCCTATGAAAAACTATTACAAACAGTGCAAGAGCTTACAGCCACGTAACTTGAATATAAAAAAAACCTTGCAGTTACATTAAATTATTTGTCTAAATAAATAAACACTCTCCAATTGAATATCTCATAATCTAACGTGACAAATTATCAATGCGTGTGAAATAAATGCGACACTCAGTCAATAACAGTGAAAGCGCGTAAACAAATTTTGTCGGAATCACCTGCCGGGCGAAGCATTATAACAATTATGTACATTTTTTTAATAAGTCACACAGTGGGAACGTAGGTGTGTAATGCGACATGTGAAATAGCAGGAAGCAATAAAGGATTACTACAGCAATGACGTGTGTCATATCTCGACTAGAGAATGTGTATTTGGCCAAAGCCGAGAACACAACGACCGTCTGTCGGTATCATTTAACTTAATGTAGGTAATGACTTCCATCTTTAAATGACAGAGGACTTAATTATATCTATTTTGGAGAACGTCACCGTCTACCGTCCCACATTTCCGTCGGAAGTACATAAGGAGCCAATAGTGTGCCTTACTTCGTCACAGGTTATAGCTCGTGCACAAGACGATAAAGGTGGCTTGTGGGCCCTCGTTTGAGTCAAGGAAGAAGTAATTGCCGGAAACTACAGACTACTTGAAAGAAACTGGTGTTGGGGTGAATCAGTGACATTTGACACGACTAATCGAACCCAGTGGCATTGAAATCAAAACAATGAAATACTTGCGGTCAACGCAGGATGTATGTACCCTGTAACTACATTGGCGTAACCGTTTGACCTTTTCTTTAACTTACAAAGCGATTATATGACTCAATCAATAACGTAGATGATTGCAAAAACGTATTTAATTATTTTTTTTAATAAATCGTAATAAAGTCAATAAAAAAATAAATTTGTAGAAAGACTATTTGACTGTACTTGAGACCTTAGAACTTATAGTTATCTCAAGGTGGGTGCCGCATTTACGTTGTAGATGTCATCTCAAGGTGGGTGCCGCATTTACGTTGTAGATGTCTATGGACTCCAGTAACCACATTTTTGCAGTGACGACAGATTGTCATGACAGTGGGAACGGCTAGCACGACAACCATAAAACCATAAAAAATCGTGACGGCAAATCTGTAGATTTGTAGCTTGCTAATGATGTGTAAACGGCAAAAGCGATTGCCGTGAAACGATAAAATGTCGTCGCGATCCAATGGGAACAGCTAGATACGATAGTAGCTAAACGATAAAAAGTTTGACTACAAAAAATCGTTATAATGGGAACAGCTTGAGACGACAGTCGTCCAACGATAAATTAATCGTTACGACATAGTGGAAACGCGCCCTTAATTACATTCTGTACTTACCCTCACTTCGTGGGGATAAACAGAATTGTCCGTGTAAGCACACAGCAAATCTACGGACAGCGGATGACACTGACGAAACTTTGAGGCTAGCAGCATGGTTGTGACAGCCAGAAGCTGCAGCTGCTGACGAGATATCGCACGCTGTGCCAAGAACCGGTCCATGTAGCTCACCGCCAGAGGAAACACCTGTTCTTCACATTGTTGTTCTTCACATACCTGCACACGAGAAAAATCTATAAATTGAAGAAAATATACCTAAATACATAATTCCATAAAAAATTGTATTATTTAATTAGAGTAGTACCTTTGTTTTTTTTACCTAAGCTGATGACCTTGAGAGGCTATTTTAGCGTAACCTTAACTAGTAGGTGAGCTCACGGGGCTCAAACCGGAGTGATGCTAACACTGACCCTAGCAAGAGCAGCGCTTCGCAGAATCTACCATCGGATCGGAAATGCGACCCACTGAGAAGATCCGGCGAGAAACTCAGTGAGCTGTGTCTATGAGTTAATTCCTTCGTCGCAAGCGAAGGGTTCGACGAGGACGGTGACTGGTGATTGTGGTACCTAAAAGCACCGTTAATGCATCGGGAGGATCCGTAATGACGTGTTTTGGGCGACGTTGAATGTTTACCATTCGATCTACAGGATCGGGTATGAACCTTTGTATTAAGCACCCTATGTTTAGTCTACAAAGTTATTTAATATATGAAAGTGGACTACCTGATATTAGTGATTATTTTGTTCCTTTTGAATCTAAATATAACCAACTATTGAACTCGTCGTACATAAACCCTGTGATATGAATATTCATGCAAGTAGAAAGGTTTTTTTTTCTGTAGAACACTAGTTATGGGATCCAGAAACCACTAATCGTTCGTGCCACGTCTCACTGAGTTATCCCACTTTCACAGGCGTATTACATCACGGCTGAGGTCAATGCCATTAAAAAGCTATTTTTCTACAGTTTCAAATATTGTTGATTTTCATAGTGTTTTGATCATATTGATCATGTCAATTGGGATTATTTATGAGAGTACCACGTATTCAGTTCTATTCCAATAATTTAAAATGAAAATTTGATTGTTAAAAAGTGACTATACCTAAACATTATGATTATTTTTATTGAGAACACAATCTTTCAATGTATACAATCTGGTACATAGCGCAACGTCATATAGAATGTAATACCTGTTTGTTCGGTGATTCCATTTTAATTCAATTTACATTAATTTAGTGTTCAATTAGAGTTAGAGACACTCAAATCCAAAAACAGATTTTAAAAAAACAAAGTTTCTAATTGCTCACTATAACATAGCATTTTATTTATTTTATTTTAGATTATAGATTTTATTTATTTACAATTCAGTCAAATGTAAAATTGAAGCTCAGATGGGCGAATAAAGTTTTTTTAATAATTTATCAAAGAACAAACAATACTCACTCACGAGAAAAAAACAGAACAGGCAAATACCATAACAAGTTACTTAAATGCTTATCGTATTTATCGTAGCTTCCCGAGAAAGATGTTCGTAGTGAATGATTAAAAGGTATTGACAAAAACAACGAACATTTGGAAAATCATTACTTTAAAATCATAAATGAACATTTAGAGAATAAAAATTGTTTAATAATAGAAACAGATTTTTCCGCATTTAACTTTTGTAGAAATTAAAAAATAAAGAGGGTAGGTAGGACATCAGCAATCACTTTAACACATCATTTAAACTTAAAATACAGAACAAAATTAGGAACTAATCCATTATTCCTTAGGAATTGTTCCAATCATTAAGTAGGTAATCTTATTTGTTATTACAAAAACTATTGATTTTTTATTTTGTTGACAACATATTACACAATAATAAATAATTCTTTACCTCATTGGCATCAATAAAGATAAATATCAAATGAAATTCAAGTATGAAAAGAGATTGTTGTATAAGCACTAGTTCTGAAAGTTAGGAAAAGTTATAGTTTTTTTTACATTTTCAGTTTTTAAACATCGGCTCGGCTTATTAAAGCTGTGCTTTTGTGATAATATTGGAAATTGCTACATATATGTACCGCTAGCTCTTACGGATGCAGTGGATGAAGTAAACTACTCATTTATTGAATACTCTAATACGAAAAGAAACGCTAAATTGCTAAATAAGTGAAAATTCGGAATTGCTACTTGTGCATACATATATATTTACTGACCTCTAGCATCCAAGTAGTAACAACTTTACGCATAAAAGGTTGTATATCAATTTGCACGTTTTGAAAGTAATCCGTGTGCAAAGCATGTGATCTCTCCAAGGCCAGGAGATTGAGAAGAACGCGAGGGTCGCGATCCAATGCTCGATCGGACCCGGCAACGCACAAGTCCCCAGCTCTTTCGTTGATGTTTCCTGAATTCTCCATATTTTCGCCACAAGACAAGTCCATATTAAGCAACACTTATATCAGTTCACAGCTGACCGGTTCGCTTCAAAGTTAAATTTAGAACTCGCGCAATTTATCGTACTTTTGTTTACAATAGTACCGGAGGCGCACGCACACCGTACAGCCGCTTGGCAAGCGGCCAAATGATAAGTGTCAACAAAATACCAATACACTCAACACTCGACTCGACTCGGGGCTGTATCGGAATACTCTGCACCCCGCGCCTCTGCCCTCCTGTAAGGCCCGATAATAGACCCTTGGCCCTGCAGTGCACGTGAACAATGTTTGAGTCGTATCTATAGCATAGGCTGTATCTTACTTTAAAATACCAAAATACTTCTCTATATTTTTTATTTTAACACGATTAAGGCCGCATTCGGACATAAAAGAATAGACACCAATTTCTATCCATAACTTTATATCGATTAAAAGGTTATGAACTAGTATTATTTGGCTTCAAAACCATAGGCATTCAATAAAAAAATGGAAACCAAACTTGTGAGAATGTTGTTGACATATGAACTTACTACGTGTATACGTAATTGCCCTGCCTCGGTAACTTTGAAAAATTATGTAGCTGATTACTTGTAGATCAGAGATGCATAGTTACTTGAGCGGAATTAAACAAGATCGGATTTCAAGTTCCAATGTTTCATAATTTTTAAGCTATGCCTACGAATATAGATAACATTTAAATATATTATATGTACATAGAACAATTAAAATTTAACAATTTGAATTGTTTTTTCATAGTCCTACATCGTTTGTAGGTACTACTACTAGGACGTTTAGAAAGGTATATTAAGTATAAAACACATTAGGTATGTTATTCACCAATTCTATTTTTTTATGTATTTGGAAGATGTAGAAAAACCTAGAGAAACCTCAGCATAAATATAGTTGCCAAACTGGACATAAGTCGAAGTTTCTGTTGCCTTCGACTATCAACCATACTATTTTTCAATCAGGGCATCAATTAATTGTATTACAGTAATACATCACTACTTTTCACGCACGCATTACGTGAAAAAACGAACGATAAACAAAACACCAAGGAAAGTTCTGTCCCTCAATATATTCTCATTCGTTGTCATTAATGTTTAGCTTAGCGTGAAAAAATATTAGAATACGTAGTGTATCATTTAGTGATTTAATATATACTTAGTCTGGCCATAAATACTGTTACAATTAAAAATAAACAAAATATTACATTTGAATTTGGAATCTGTCATTTTTATATGATTGCTCATTGAGTTTTCTCATTTTGGCACCAATACATTGTACAATATTTTGCGATATTAAAATGGAGTGGGGTAATAAAGAGAACCGAATCGCTGTGATTGCATTACACAAAGTAGGTATGGAGCCAAATGCAATTTTTAAAACTCTCCATACGCTTGGTATTAGCAAAATGTTTGTGTACCGGACTATTAATAGGTACAATGAGACCTCCTCTGCTTGTGACAGAAAAAGATCTGGCCGTCCACGTAGTGTTCGTACGAAAAAGGTGGTCAAAGCAGTAAGGGAAAGAATTCGAAGAAATCCTGTCCGAAAGCAAAAGATTTTATCTCGGGAGATGAAGATAGCACCTAGAACCATGTCGCGTATTTTAAAAGATGACTTAGGACTTGCAGCCTATAAGAGACGTACTGGTCATTTCTTAACTGATAATTTAAAAGAGAATAGGGTGGTAAAATCGAAACAACTACTGAAGCGGTACGCAAAGGGAGGTCATAGAAAATTTTTTTACGGAAGAGAATTTTTTTACAATTGAGCAACATTTTAACAAAAAAAATGACCGTATTTATGCTCAAAGCTCTAAGGAAGCTTCCCAATTAGTCGATAGAGTGCAACGTGGGCACTATCCGACTTCAGTGATGGTTTGGTGGGGTATTAGCTATGAAGGAGTGACTGGGCTGTACTTTTGTGAAAAAGGTAACAAAACATCGCCACAAGTGTATCAAGATACCATTCTTGAGAAGGTAGTGAAGCCCCTTAATAACACCATGTTCAATAATCAAGAATTGTCCTTCCAGCAAGACTCGGCGCCAGGTCATAAAGCTCGGTCTACGGAGTCTTAGTTGGAAACGAACGTTTCGGACTTCGTCAGAGCTGAAGACTGGCCGTCGTCTAGTCTCGATCTTAATCTGCTTAATCTGCTGATATGATTTATGGTCAGTTTTAGAGAGTACGGCTTGCTCTAAACGCCACGATAATTTGGAGTCCCTAAAACAATCCGTACGATTGGAAGTGAAAAATTTTCCCATGGAAAGAGTGCGTGCTTCTATTGATAACTGGCTTCAACGTTTAAAGGACTGTATTGCACCCAATGGAGACCACTTCGAATAAGTTTTTTATACTTTAAATTGTTTTATATTTCTGTATTAAACTAACACACTGTAAAAGTAATAAATGATATTTGCCATAGATTTTTTTTTGTTTTCCTTTGTAACAGTATTTATGGCCACACTAAGTATGTTATAAAAATGATATTCAATGATAATTAGAATGAAATTAAGATTCATTATCACTATTTATGAATTGACTGCAGATAAGCAAATAATAAGCTACGTTGCAGTGTTATCAAAGTAAAATAAAAACATAATATTTTTTTTTAATAAGCTTGAGATTAGTTCCATTTCTGATGAAACATAATATATAAATTTCATTTATGTAAAATACCTACAACATGCAATAGTTAAACGAATTTGTATATACCTAATATACAATAAATAAGTTGCGTTTTACAGTATCACACACAAACAAGTAAGATGTAAGGCAACTTTTACATCTTACTTGGAAAATATCGATTTATTTTGATCCCTATACAGTCTGATTATCCTTTTCTTAGGACCTCGATCCATACATACAATACATATAATTTTTAATAGATTCTGGAATGAAATCTGAAAAATGGTCTCAGAGATATCTAAGATCTGAGATTACATTATTTCACTTATATACATCACCTTCTGAGATTACAATATTTGGGTAATTTAGGGTGTTTACCCTGATTATAATTATGAATACTTCAAGTGTAAAATTTTAAATTTAATCTAAAATTTTAAATGTAGTTTAACAAAAGTAGAACTGCGAATAATCGTATATATTCACTGCTTTTTCTTTATATTTACTACGAACGTTTAATATACTCGATGAAATGGCAATAGTTTTTATTCCATTCTAGGCTTGGTATTTCTTCTTCTTCCTAGTCGTACACTCTTGACAGAGTAGTCGTGGTCATGCATCAGTCGAATCCTGCGATACTGATGCTCTCGCGATGCGACGCCATTTGTCACGATTGTTTCGCAGAGTGAGAGCAATTATTTATGTTGGAGTGAGTCACAGATTTTATGAGGTCGGTCCATCGTGTTGGGAATCGTCCGCTATATCTTTTGCCCTAGACTTTTCCTTGCACTACCAACCGCTCAATGGAGTCCTCATTACGAGCAATGCACCCGACGAACTTGAGAATTCGTATTTGGGCTGTTGACGATAGTCTCTCCTTGATGTTCAGCTCTTTCAGGATCGAAACTTGAAATAGCTCAACAGCTTAGTATTTAAATTTCAAATATTAATAAATGAAAGAATTTCATTCTAGAACGATTAACTTTAATTTTATTATACCATGTATTTTACTGACTTGCAACAAAAAATGCAAATCATTAAAAACATTAAAATAACAAAGGTTGTAGGTAAGTATTTATTCGGAGGGCGCACCTCACTGGAGGTACGGAGGGCCGACGGGCAGCTGCGCGTGTGCCGGCTGCGAACGACCTGGTTGACATTTTATTACAAATCCGGACACACCTGATCTCGAAACCAGCCATTATTTTAATTCTATTCTTCTTTTATTCAACATTTATTTTATTCTCCAAACGCGTGCCCTAAATTTGAGTAACAGTAGAGTATATATATACCTATAAAGAGTACACGCCCTTCGCAAAAAATAACTCAATGCTGCTAGACGACCTGCCCAAAAAACTATCTAGCACTCTTTTTTTTTCACTTCTTCAAATTTTGTGTTATAGTAAGGGATGTAGGTAACAACAGGTTTCCAATCAGTAAGAAACACCATTCCAATCAGGGTTGTCATTCCAAACGATAACAACGAAATTGTAAACCCGCTCAACTTCTCCAACTGTTTTTTACTTAGTGCCATGACACAAATCATATAACTCGTAACTAACAACTATAAAGCAATATCTTCTGTATGACCATTAACATAGTTTTTCTGACTATAGTAAAATTAGAATTGAAAATAAATTGAACAAATACGTAAAAGAGTTAAGACAAGTCTATTGAGTTACACCACGTATGCTTTAACATTGAAATTTATACATAATTTTGGTATTTGTTTATCACAAGTCATAATGTCAAAAACAAGTCATAGGGAGCAAAAAGTTTTACATCTAGCTGGAACGCTTGTAGGTATTTTCATGTACATTACACCATCAAAACACAATGGTACCTAAAATGTGTATGAATTAAACGTTTATAAATGAAGTAAGAAATCGGTTGATTACCATCGGAACTTTACAAATGCTGCGGATGCCGTACTCATCGTTTGATTGACGGATTAGTAACGTACAGAGGGTGTCGTATAAATTGACGATAAACTGCTAAATAATAGTCATCAAGTACATTTTATCTATACCAACTTTTGTACCTATAGTATTTTTATAGCCAATATATTTAAACTACAATAGACAAGCTAATGCATTATTTCTGTTGTTTTATCTAAGACATTCACAGAGCAAGAAAGTTTAAACACCTGGTTTCGTATCACAAACAACGAAAAAATTGGGATAAACAAACCACCGTATCGGAATTGTGACCCATACACTGACGTGACTGACAGACCTGCTAGGACATGTCTAGGGTGTCGACGACAGTGAGCTGCTGCGTAAGCCAGCTCGGGTATGGAACTCTAAAACATAGTGTAGTGTGTGTAGTGTAGTGTAGTGTAGTCGCGCCGCCGTTTTAAAGTAGCCTTCTAACGCCGTTCTTATTAATTGTGGATCTTGCTCGAGACCCAGATCGTCGTTAACTTTTACATTCCTTACGTGTCACGGCGCGGCGCTCCGACAGCTAATTTGCAAAAGCGAGATTGAATTTTCTGAAAAGAGTGTGTGTGAGTGCGCCGCGTGACCGAATACCACACTCGTGTAGATTATTATGCGTGTTTTGTAGCGCCACGTTATTACGATGGGATATTTTACTCCGCTTGCAGATCATGGGATAAAATCTGCCCAAGATCAACGCGGTCGTGAAAAAATTTTACGTGGGGGCAGAAGATCACGGATCGATCTAGGGTATCCAAGTCCACTGATACTTGACTTTACTGGCCTGACCTTCATGGTGATCAAAGGGACCGCTTCATGCCCTGATGCGGGGCTCTTCGCATCGAGTATTAGCTTTGAAAACACGGCTGTACTTTTCACAGGGCTTACTTCGATTCGTCACTTCGGGAAACACTCCGACCGCTACGGCTACGCTCTAAGCACAAATGGTGTAACGGGCGCAAAAGAGAATACTATTTCATTATTGTATATAGGAGTGAAAGAGCTTCACCTGGTGTTAAATGGTTACTGGTTAATACAATGTATTGCTACACTCGCGTTGTGAACTCGACGGCCTCCGGTAATCTTAATATACCTGATGGATCGTGAGCTCGTCCGGAGTAAATAAGAAAAAATCCTTAAATAAATAAGGACTAGATGATGACCGAGCTTTGCTCGGCTTTTTTTTTAATAACGCCATCTTGTTGTGTCTTTAATGTAGTAAAAATAGTATTATTATTCGCCAATATATGTCGGGAAGAGTCATCAAGTTGATTATATTATTGAAAACACGAATAAAACAACATTTTCTGAAAATAAATCATAGCTAGATCGATTTATCGCTCCCGAAATCCCCTGTATACTAAATTTTATGAAAATCGTTGGAGCCGTTTCCGAGGTTCTGATTATATATAATTTATATATTAATATATAAGAATTGCTCGTTTAAAGGTATAAGATAAGATATCAATTAGATATTAAAATACATATAATTACGTAAATTTCTCATACATCGTGAATATTTCCCGCGATGCTCATTACGCCGCATGTCATTTTCAAATTAGGCCGGCCACAACATAACCGCTAATTATAAAGTTATCAATTTGTCAACCGTCAACCCATCCCCATCTTGTGAAAGCTATAAATACGAAACACGAATCATTAGTGAACGAATTAAACAATTCGTCCTGTGCGATATGATTGTATTCCCACACTTCTAGTAGATAATTTCTTGTTGGCCTGTTTGTAACAATTATTAAATTTGTTTCTACTAACATTGCATCTATACCCTTCAGTCAATGTAACATCTTTCTATTTTGTTGTTTCATCATGAATTTGTTCTGTAAGTAGCACCTGGGATCCTCTTTTTTTCAGTATGGAAATTGTTGCCAGTTGATATATAATACTTATATTCACCATCATCATCGTCTGAGGTAATACAGTCGCAGTAGCCACCTCTCGGTGGTTTACCTTCTCCAAATTATCACCCCTAAGTTCTTTGTGATCTGTTCGAAGCCGTCCAATCTGAGCTTGGGTCTGCCTCTACTTCTGCGTCCGTCCGGTCAGTCTTCTAGAAAGCATTTGAGTACTCTGGCCTGGTCTGGTCTGTTTCGCACCACGTGTTTCATTTTTTTCTACTTAATGGTTTGTAGCAACTACGCGCGGACCCGTAGGCGAGCTCACAGGCTCTGCCTGAAAGACTTGCAAGAGAATTGCAAGAGAGGCTACGAGAATCTACGACCGAATCGGAATCACGATCACCTAAGAAGATCTAGGGAGAAACTCAGTGTGTTGTGTGTAGGTAATAGTTCGCAAGTTGAACTCTTAATTGTAATCGACCTGTTCGGCGAGGACGGTGGCCGGTGCTTGAAGAGCCTAAAAGCACGGAGAGGGGAACTGGAGAACCAGACAAGACAAGTTTTGAGCGACATTGTCTTTTCTTTGTCCCGTCACCTACGTCCGATTTACAACTAGAGGTGGCCACAATAAACGACTATCGTGTCGCGCCGCTTATTCAAAGTAACGTTCTGACTCTTCCATAAAACTTGTATCGGTTATAGATTTAGATAGTTGTGAAGTTCAACATTCCTCACATACCACGGTACCCCGACGGTTGTTCTGCAGTATCGGAATTGGATGACCTGAAGAGGGTTTATGTGCATGCGAGCCGCCTGAGTGAACACTACACTTTCTTAAGCCATAACGGACCATATAACCTTCCCATAGAAGGGGTCCGGTCTTCCTGGTCATAATGACATTTATCTCGTGGTTACAACGCGTTCGCCATCTCTCATCTTCCATCACAGTCGAGTTTATAAAAATCTTCAAGAAAAACGATGTTAAGCGAAAAGAGATGATATTGATTAGGTAATTTGAAATGTTATCTAATAAGATGAAATTAAATGAACCATATGCACTGGGTAGCCATCATACAATACAAGATATTTGACAAATGCTTGAATCTCGGTTACGACATTTTCACGATAAGCTTGCATATATATAATATCCGAACAACAACATTTGGGACCGTCGATCTATCGAGCAATATCACCTGCTCGGTGGAAGATCTTGCCCTTCGTCGCTTAAGCATTCCCACAAGATAAGCTGAGATGAAATAAAGACTTAGTAAAATGATGATTATTTACTATGACTTTTTCGGTGGACGTTTTAGAAGAACCCGAGAAGCCAGTCAAACGGTTATGTTTCGTTTACACACAATTGGGCACTTTAACAGACGGTAAAAAGTTTTTTTTTTTATTCATTGCTTAAGTTGTGTACGAGTTCACGGCCCCCCGATGTGAAGTGGTTAGCGGAACTCAAAGACATCTACAACGTAAATGCTGCCACCAACCTTGAGATAATAGTTCGAAGGTCTCAGTCTTTACAATACGACTGCTCCACCCTTCGAACTGAAACATATTACTGCTTCACGGCAGAAATAGGCAGGGTGGTGGCACCACTGTAGGTGGCGGCTTCCCCCCGGTGAAGGTCAAGAAGCGACCAGAGGGGGTAGAGGCCGCGCGGCGCGCTACCATCACTCTAGCGCGCTGCCAAGGAGTAATAGAGCGACCGGTTGGCGGTGTATCGCGTCCCGGCCCGGCAGGCTGGTTCTGGTCCAACGGGGTATTGCGGGACACCAGCGGCATCGTCTGGGCGAGACGGCCGACGTTTCAGTCTTCGATTCGCCTCGAAGGCTCCGTCGGCTGGGCGTCCTTGGGGTGAGCTGCACTGTTTGGTTGCAGTGTTGACCGCCGTAACCCCCCTACCTCATCCGGGTTCTGACCTCGGAGGGGATCGGACGCTTGGGCGAAGAGTGCAGGGGAGTCGTTTAGTGGGTGGGCCCTAAAATTCCTTGGGCCCGCGGTCTGCTCCCAACACCTTGCAGATCGTCAAGTCCCACATATCCCGCGCGCCCCCTAGGCGCGGGGACTAGGAGATTCGACCCCGGCCCGAAAGAAAAAAAAAGCATGGTGGTACCCCCTCGTGCGGACTCACCAGACGTCCTACCACCAGTAATTACGCTAATTATAATAAAATTCATCCCAATTGATATATAATACTTATATCTCAAATAAATTAACTTTAAGCTATATAAGTTTTCACTCTATATTATTTTTATTTTACTATAACTGAACTTTTTTATTTTGTTTATTTAGTGTTTCTTCAGGCTTAAATGTGTAATAAAGGTGGTGAAAGTTCACAAATTTGGAAAAATGAAACAAGGTCGCTGGACGTAACTTCTCGGGATCCTGCAAAAAGTCTACTGAAAAAATCTCAGTAAATGACCACCATTTTACTGAGATTATATTTCATCCCATATCATCTCATCTCATTTCATTTAATTTCATCCCAGTTAATTAATGTCAGAAATTAATCATCTTCATTTCATGTCATTTCATTCACTCTATATTATCATTTTTCATAAAAATAAGAATATAAATTAAAATAAGACATGACTTAAAAGTCTTAGTTACCAGGTCATAAAATCCTTTAAAAAACTAGTTTTTTCAATTTTCAATATTATTATTTTATTGTTTTATTTATTTAGAAAGGCCAAATAAACTGCAAATAAGCAAAAAAAACATTAATGGCGGGCTTAGAAAAAGATCCACTGGTGTACGAAAGATCAGGAACAGTACGAGAAGTCGGTAATCATGCTATCTGGAGTTTGTCTTCCTGTAAACCAGGTAAATAGTTTTTTTTTGTGGTGTTGTGAGCAATTATTTATTCACTTGGAACCAACTGTAGCTCTTAATAAAAATAAAATCAAATAGTTATGAAGAACCCTGTGCACCTTGTGTAACTTTCTTTGTTGTATTGTGAGCAATTATTTATTCCCTTGGAACCAACTGTAGCTCTTGAATAAAATAAAATCGTTATGAAGAACCCTGTGCACCTTGTCTAACATATCTTGTGTACATGTATACCTAATGATTCTTTCCTAAAATTAAAAGTTTGTGACACATCTGTTATTCTGATCTCACATCTAATGTACATCTACATTTAAAAAGAGACATATTTTAGGATTTGGTATTGATCAATTGAGAGATGACTGCATGGAAACATACTGGCAGTCTGATGGACAACTTCCACACTTGGTTAACATACAGTTTCAGAAAAAAACAATGGTATCACATATTTACATTTACACTGACTATAAATTAGATGAAAGCTATACACCAAGCAGAATATCAATAAGAGCTGGTACACATTTCAATGATCTACAAGAAATTGAAGTGATTGAATTAATAGAACCTAGTGGTAAGTACCTTAAGTGTACATCTATATTTATTGCCTGAGATAGCAGAAGTATGTACAACAATAACCATTGACAAAACTCCATTAGGTGTTATTGATTATCTTGAAAAGTAATTTTAATTAAATACCTTTTTAGAATTAATTAATTTTCTCTTTGGGTTTTCAGTAACATAAACAAAATAAAAATTAATTTTACGGGTTAATTTCACATTTTTATTTGTCATTATTTTATTCAATTAAAGCAGCACTCACAGTTAACCATTGTATACTTTCAATACTTTCCAGTATTCATATTCACAGACAACTAAGGTGTTCAAATGAAGTATGTGTAAGTCTAGAAAATGTTGTTTAGGACAAAAAATAGAAGTAAGCATCATATTCAAATATCAATGAATAACACCTTGGTTTGTCTGTGAGTAGTCATACACCACGAATTTTTCCTTAAAATAAAAATGTTTAATTTTACAATCTTGTTTTCAGGTTGGGAAATGATTCCAATCAAAGACATTCATGACAGACCCATTAGAACTTATATGATTCAAATAGCAGTTCTGAGTAATCATCAGAATGGTCGTGATACACACATGAGACAGATCAAAGTGCATTCACCATGTGAACCTACCTCTTTTGATATAAATAAGTTTAGAAATTTTTCAACTGTTCAATTCCAACAATATGCCACTATAAGATAATATAATTTACTTTTGCCTGTTGAAAGAATGTATTCTTGGTGGTTTGTCAATAATCAGACCCTATAGGTTTGATTTTGTAATTTTATGACAAAATCATTTGTATCAATATTTGTTATTTATTTGTTCTCTTATGAACAATTATTATTCAGAAATAACTGTTATAAGGAGAATAAGCAAAATTATATGAAGCTCGACAGCTTGACCAATTAGCAGCCAGCAATGAAGTTTCCATTTACTGATGTACTTTGCTACTACAATTACTAAGTATAATTTTTATTGCTGTCTCTTTTAAAGTAACATGAATTTTGGTTTAAAGATTTTGCATCATTTTACTAAGTATAAAAATGAAAATGTTAAATGAAATAGTCAATCTAGCCATCTTTGACCCACTTTTCCATAAAAAGTTAAGAAAATTATTACAATAATACATTAGACATAAATAAAAGCCAATGTGCATGGCTTTGGATGACTTTTTTTTTTGAAAATATAAAAATCTTTACTTATGAAGTTGCTGTTTACACAACTGCCCATTCAAAACGTAATTTATGTATAGCTACCAATAAATTCTAAATTCAAATGCATTTTATTTTAAAAATACGGAACTCATTTTCATATTCTGTCATTTGTTTATGTATTGATTATTATTGTTTTCATTACATTTATTTAAGTATGTTCAAAGTCCCAAATTTTCCAAGGTACATCTATTCATTGCGGTTTAAGGTTTTTGCTATCATTAACCTGAGCTCTTTTTTACTAATATTGTGCCCAATTTCACATGTGATGCGTAGAGCGGATATGTATAAAAATGGTAGTGCAAGGTAGGGGGGAAGAGGTCGACCAAAGAAGACATAGATGGACTTTGTGAATGTTCGTGAGGAACGTTGACATACACGACGACCTGGGCTTCGAATCAATCCCGAATCACATGAAGTGAGCATCGGAACGGTACTTCGATAAGGCTATGCGTCATGATAATCGCCTTACGTTGCCCGGCTTACTCCCCGAATCGTAATCACGCAGGAGCCTTTGCATTAGCCGCCTTCAGCTCTACCACTAGCAGTAGGCTTAGAAATCCCGATAACCCTACTCGTCGAACTCAGCAGAGTTCGACGTGTATCCTAACCTAAACAACAGCCCGCCGAGTTTCTCGCCAGATCTCAGCGCATCGCGATTCTGATCCCGTAGTAGATGCATTCGCGAAGCAGCTGCCCTTGAGTTGTTGGTTCTCTTTTGGAGGCACTCAGGCAGCTGTTAACAAATCCCACCCCTCCTAGCTGAGCTTTTGCTCGCCCACCTGTCCTGGTGAAACTGGAGAGGCCACCCGTAATCCCTCCAACTCTTTGTAAGAAAGACTAACCGACCTTTAAGTTTTCACTTAAAAAAATATATTAAATATAGAATATTGCTCCATACATTACATATTAAAATTTCAATATTTTTGTTTCTAAATGAATTACAGCATACTTCTATAGTAAAATTTGTCCATTAGGAATTGTACTTTCGTTCCTGGCACAACAATTCTTATTGGCCACCAATAGGCTAAACTGCCAAATTTAACTTTATATTGGACTGATCACTTAGCTCAGCTGAACAATAAATTTAAACACTAAATTATGGCAATAAAATCAAATTTATTTAATAACTGAAATAACATTTCATTTTAATGATGCTAGTTGTCTAACATATTAATTACCTACTTATTCAGAATCATCACTTTCTTCACTTGCTTCTTGAAGCCATTCAAAAAATTTTACAAGTGAAGGCTGTTTGACAAAAGGATTTGCATTTTCCTTTAATTCAGCATACCAATCCACCAAAGAATCTTCATCTACTACATCAGCTTCATATAATAAGTGTAAAATTTGTCCAGATTTTCCATCTAGCCATTCACAATTTAAACAGGTGTCCTGAAATATTAATTATATATTATTTACTTCATGACAACAAAAACGCTTAGAATTGCAAATACTGGAGCCAGTGGTCAAAATATTTTAAAGCAATTATATACAACAAATGTTTGGCCTTCTATACATACCTCAACAGCTCGTAAGCAATCCATTATAGAAGATTTTGACTTGATGTAGTTTGCTAATACAGGCCGGAAATATTTCAATATATCTTTTACAGTTGTGAGCACATTCTTAGCTTCAGACAAAACAGGCATACTAAGTAATGCTCGGACAACGAAAAAATTGACTTCATTTAACTGAATGTTGTAGGCATATCTTGATGAATTTATTTCTAATATAAGGTAATCGCATTTCAATTTTTCATCATAGCCTCTTGCTAAGCTGTCTATGACTTCTTGCAAGAACACTGCAATTTAAAAATGATAATAAAAACATACATTTTTGAATATGTGTTCAGAATACAATCAATGTCCTTACTTTTAGTATCATCAGGTACAGGAGAGTCAGGTAATGAAGAATCTGCTGAACTGATTGAAGAATAACAAGATTCACTGTCACTCCATACTTTATCAAAACCAATAAACTCCTCATCACTACTCCCAGATGACTCTTCCCATTCTGTTCCACTTGATTCTGATTTTTGTAGTTTTTTATCTGTAAATTTCTTTAATAAATTTATTTGTTAACCCAGTTAGGCGGTGGTTTGGTTGAACTCTGGTTATTTCAAACAGATATGATCGTCGCAACGATTTACGTGACGTCTTGATGCAAAATAAGGCATTTCACCAAATTAATCAACTTAATGGTTGCAATTATAATTTCCCAAAAAGAATTCTACAGCATCACTAAATAATCAACAAATAAGGAGGTATCGATACAATTAAAATAAAGAGATTTACCATTGTCAATAGAACATTCTATTCTGCCTTTGAGATCACTTCCTGATTCCACTTTGACATTTTCTGCAATTATTGTGCCAGCATGTAGATTTGATCCTTCACTAATAACACAATTGTCATCAATAAAACTGTTTGAAATTCTACAGTTGTCCTTTATTATTACATTATTCATTATGTGTGATCCATTGATTATGACATTATTTCCAATTGTACATTTCTTTCCGATAATTGATTTTGTCACCGTGGTGTTGTCTTGTACTTGCGTTTTCGCTCCAATTAATGTATTTTCGGTTAATACACATGATCTATAAATAGATTAGATGTGGTCAATGTTATGAAATTTAATTACAAAAATATATTTCACAAAAGACAATTCTCCTACCATACCTGCTCAACATAGCTGAGTTTTCAACAAAATTAAGATTTCCCGTAAGAGTATACTTGTCACGGGAATACAAACCCGATTCAATTGACAGTGGATACACCCACTTATGTAATATGTCTCTACTGTAACAAAAAATAGACATTTTTAGTGTCAATCTAATTTATTTTATATCTGAAATTTTATATAATGATTAATTAATTATTATTTTCAGATACATACCAAACTGTTTGATAAGTTTTCCAATTTGTTATAGCAGCAGCATATTGATTTGATTTCAATAATGTATAATATAATGAGCTGGCAAGAATTTCCTCATTAATTAATATGCCATGAATGAAGTCATCCCTAGTTTGAAAATCAAAATTATCCGAGAACAATGGTGGGACTGTTGGTGAGCAGAGTGCAATGTTAGTATCAACCAGATTGTGATGTAATTTAACTTCAGAATTATTTAATACCAAATCCTGAAAAAAAAGAATACATTAAATACAAGAAAAAAGATCTGACTGCAACAAAATAAAATTAATTTCATAAATGTAGATAAGTGAATTAAATATGATGCTCTAACTGAAATATTATCAATCACTTGATTAGTTCATTAAATTAAGAATTAGATTAAACAGGACCATGTGAGATGCACCAAATATCAAATAACAAAATATCCTTAAAATCATTTCTTAAAGAAAAAAATATGAGGTAGCACACATGAAAAATACAGTCTTATTAATAACCTCCTTTTTTAAGTTAGTTTATATAACAGATTAACGATAATAGGGCCTATTATGACCGAGCATGGAAGGGCACCATACCATAATTCAAAAGATACATACAACATACAATACTTTACTGACACAATAATGGAAGAACATATTATCATATAAGCAAAAAAACTGAAATCTGCATCATTGTAATGATTTATAAAAAGATCAGCATGTACATATGTGTGTTAATTTATTTACTTTTTTTTTTGCAACCTCATGTACCTAGTTCCAATAGTGGACAGACTCGTTGACAAGATTCCAGTGGTTCACAAGCATACCATACTTTTAGTATATTTTTAGTTGGGGGCAAAGTAATATCAACACTGGGTTTAGGGACGTTTGTCCTATATATATCTCTTCGAACATGCGTCAATTTGACGCATGAATGAATATATTTATGCATGAAATAAATGAAATTTAAATTAATACTATTACTGTTTCAGTAGTGGCATGAAATTAACAGGCCTTGTGTGACTCAGTGCTAAAGATTAACTTTCACGAATATGCCTAAATAAAAACAATTTTATAAAATTATTGAACAACCTTCACATTATTTTGTACATAGAAGGTACTAACAGTGTCTTGAGGTTTGGCTGTTTATGTGATTTTTGTTATTTTTTCATAATAATAAAATCCCAGGTGTTCTTTTTTTTGTTATTTCAATGGCCTTATCTACTATACTGCGGATCATCATGTTTTATATAGAGAATATTTGGATTTTGTTAAATCTTATAAAATGGTTGGCACCATTGTCCAGAGAATGTTGACAAATCACAGTTTTTTTATATTTAATTATTTTTGACATGGTCCATAACTCTAACTAAATGTCTCTTAGTCTGTCCTATAAATGAGAGCCCACCATCACAATCCAGTTTATGGACATGAGAACTCTGCAGAGGTGTTCTTCACTTAATAGACCTTAGGATCTTGCTCAGTTTATGTGGTCTAATTACAAAACTATCATAGAGATACCACAATGTTATTAAACTAATTCTCTTAATATACATCATATAATGTAGGAACCCCAGGGTATATTTTGCACGCGTCTGGTAATGTTACAACCCCGATTAAATTGTCTGGCTTATTTTTTTTCGTATTTATTAAGTATTACACTGCAACATATATAAATTGCGTATTGCCTCAAATATATTTTTGGGGAAAAAAAATTTATATTTAAAAAAATGTAGGGGTTGATTTAACCCCGCTACTCACCAGCCAGGTCTGCAATTCCGTGTTGGAATATAATAGGAGAGGTATGTGACAAGTTTTCAGCTTGCCTCAAATACCTACCCAAAAATTGGTACCAGCTCTCGGACTATTTGCGCGCATGTGAAGGGCCGTCAAAATTCATTCGCAAACCTAGCGGCTGTGCAAATGGGTTCGCATACTCAATTTGCGAACCCGTTTGCGCTTCCTCCTACATTTGTTTACGAATGTCTCACGAATTTCTCCTCCTTTTTAATTCGTCAATAGAACATTGAAGAGAAAAAGAGTTTTGAATTCTTTCCCAGACATCATTAACAGCCATGCTGTTTTTATGGAATTTCTTTTGATGAAGATACGCTACACAATAGACGTCACGAACTATGAAAATGGCGATACGTCCGTTACCTTCGCAATCGTCGGCGCAACTGGTCAAACGAATGTGTGGGAGACTACGCGAAGGTTCGCGGTTCGCGCGCTTTGATGTCTGTTAAAAAACCGACACAGCTTGGAAAACCATGAATGTAGCGAAAACTTTGCATAATCATTTGCAAATGTCGTCCTACACTTGCGGGTTTGCGTATTCGTGCGCATGTGAGTGACCGGTGTAAGACTACAGGAAACCAAAGAAAAAACGTCTAATAAGAGTACTTGTAAAAGGTTACATACCAAAGGAAGAGATATTATCTTCTCCTTGGACTTAGGTCTATATCTCTTGTGCACTAACACTTTCTTTGTATTCTCGTTAGCGGCCAAAAAAGTTGACCTGTCTGAGCTTATCAATGGGTGTTCCCAAGAAAGTTTCTTATAAACCAAAGTCATCGCTGTCCCTTTGTCTTTTTTACATGTTTGTCTATGGTAAAAAGAATAAAAGAGGTTTATAATTTGATAATCTGCTATTAAAAGCTATGAGTTATAATGAATTTCAAGCTTTTGGTAGAGATTGAGAGACAATAAATAATCTACCTCTTTTTCCATGAACAAGCAGTGGTTTTAAACATATATGTCTATTATGAAAAGTATCCTATTTGTCAAAGTAATTGAGTTAAATATTATAATTGGTGAATTTTGAACAAAATTTAATTTAGCTTTTCATTGATTGACGGTATTTATGATATGCTTTTAAAGATCAATAAATTTATTAATTCATATGCAAATTCCATCTGTCAGCATGTTCTATAATTTAGAAAAATATGTGAAGCTTGTACAAACTTATGTTGTTCCAGAAGACTTGCAAAATTCATATTAGTAATGCTATTGATACCAGCTAGCACAAAATATCCTTTCAGCAAAGCAGCAGCATCTAACTCTCTCATCACATCACCCATGGTCTGACAAGTATCTGACATCAAAATCTGGATATCCATAGTAAGACTCCACAGAGACTTATTATCTTGATGTTTCCTGAAGTATAGATAAAGTTTAGTATCTGATTACAGAAAATATAGGTAGATAGGTGGGAAGATAGAAATCTTAGTCAGCTACGAATCTATATAAAAAATAAGTTCATGAGAACAATGATTTGCCCACTCAAAGCACAAGTTTTTATTAAGCTTAATAAGTTGATTGTCTAAGCTATTTTAGGTTAAACTCCACATTCAGCAAGCCTTTTTTTTTTAAAACACTTCAGATATTAGCTTCATATCTGCAATCCTGAATTATATGTAACATATAACATAATATGTAGTATATTTGTTATTACATATAATACAGGAACACCACTGCCAGATTGAATATATACTACATAAAATGGATTGACAGTCAATGTATGTAGTAATGATGCTTAATTTTTAAGCAAAAATGTAGTCATACACAGGATGAAACACCCTGTGTACTCTTACCAAAAGATTCACTGTGCCAATGTTCAAATCAAACAAAAAAGTACCAATGTTATTATAGAAATATGTCTAAACACATGTTTACGAATGACTACAACAATGACAGAATAATATCTTGTAAAAAAATGAAACCACCAAAGATGTATAAATTTGCCTGAACATATGTGTTAAAGCATATTGTAAGCCCAAATGGGATGATGGTACACAAAACTCCCGCTTCTATCTGTATGTGACGAAATTAAACTGTACAATATAACCAAACCTTCGTCCACAAAACTAAATACGGGCGGCATCGTTCACATTATGAGTTCCTTTAATTATCTAGTACTATTAAAAAAAAACTTACTGTACATGTTCTTTTATTTTTTGTCCATTTTGACAACAAAACAGAATTGCCTCTCCCACTCCGCCCAAAGCAAGAGATTCTAGAACATAATCTATTAGAGGGACGCCTGCAACTTCAAGAAAACCCTGTAATATGTCCCATTCAGTTATTATTTTGGTTTCAGATAAATATTCAAATTTCAAACAGGTTACATACCATTGGTTTATTGTCTGTTATTGGAGAAAAATTACTGTTAAAAGTGTCCATAATAACAACAGCTTGTACGATATTTTCTTTATCCATTTCCATTTTCATCAATTCCTAGTTCCTACTTTTTAGAAAATAGGTTATTGCTACATAAAAAGTTAGTAATAGTAGTTTTATTTTTTCAAATGGAAAGGCAAATGTATCATACCATATAGCCTAATCTATTATAATTTTTTTTATGAAATATGATATTATGAAATGAAATGAAGTTGATTAATATGAATCATAGCATAAAATGAAATGAAATAAAATGATATGATATGAGATATTTTTATGAAAAATGATAATATGAAATGAAATGAAATGAAGATGATTAATTTGAGACATTAATCAACTGGGATGAAATTAAATGAAATTATATGGGATGAATTAATCTCAATAAAATGGTGGTAATTTACTGAGATTTTTTCAGTGGACTGTTTGAAGGATCCCGAGAAGTTAAGTCCAGCGGCTTTGTTTCATTTTTGCACATTTGTACACTTTCGTAGATATTAAACTGTTTAATATCTACGAAAGTAGCGGTGCTCAAAAAGCACTTGGACTCCAAGTTTAATTTAAGCAGTCAATAAACCAACGTTATTACACATTTAAGCCTGAAGAAATATTATATAGACATAATAAAACAAATCATTTTATTATTTTTAATAGGTAATTATAATAATTAGGTACTGAGTAATAAAGTACGTATTGCATACGTAAAGTGCGTACGCATGGATATGAAAAATTTTGGATGGATGATTAACTTTGGAACATATGATATTGGATTTGTCTTGGAATGCACGGCTTTCTTTAAAATTATTTATAGCTTGTAAACATCTTTTTTTTTCCATACCTATTCGCTGATAATTTAAGTGGCTATTCCAGCTTAAACAAATCTCCATTTACTAAACAATGTATGCATGTAATCTAGAAAGTACTAGAAAATGAATTTAATCGGAAACGAATCAATGTGATATGAGATGAATTAAATAGTATCCGTGTAAAACGAAAGCTTACTGACACTTTATTTTTGAACTTTTTTACATTGAGCCCAAGAATGAGCATTTTCATAAATGCTGCTCAAAAAAGTTCGCTATCTACTTTATTCATTAGCTATAATAGAATTTGTAGCATCGAAAAGGCATTATGATTAATAAGCTAGGGCAATATCGTTCCCGCTTGTGAACTTGTTCCCCAAAATCATTCTGTAGGACCTTTAGTTCTGTGTATTCAGTCCAATCGTACAGACAGTATAGAATTACAACTCGCTACGGGGAACTATTACGCTGAGAACAGAATTAAATAATTTTATTAAAACTGTGTTTTCCTCATAACTAATTCACTTAATAATTAAAGTTATCTCTTCAATCTGTATCGGAGACATAGCTAATATTCTACTATCGATATCTCAAACTCCCTTAATTTCATAGAATGTGACGGGTGTAATTGCTCGGTATAGGGTAGAGGGTTATTTTAATGTTGGTTTATGTTGTTTGGAGCTTGTTTATATTACAAAATTATCTTGACATCATCGTTAGCGAGATTCAGGCATCTGTCAAATATCTTGTGATCCATGATTGCTACCGTCACATAATATCTTTTTCTATTCTTATAGTAATTCACATAGCCAACCTTCCAAGACTACCTTCTAGGTATCACAGTTTTACAATCCATACAGTTAGGAAATGGAGACACTTGCGTCGATAACACGCAAACAGTTTTTTGATCCTACCTATGCTGATAGGCTATATCAGCGTTAGCCTAGCGTGTAGATGAGCTCTTGAGGCTCAAGCCAGAGGTGTTGCTAACACTGGCTTTAGCAAGAGCAGTATTTCGCAGAATCTACCACCGGATCGAAAATGCGAACCACTGCGAAGATCCGACGAGAAACTCAGTGGGCTGGCACAAACAGTGACATCATACTATGCGCGGTGGCTGTCTCCGATCGTGTTTCATTTGCGCACCGAAACCCTGAGAGCAGACGTGACCCTGTACATCCCGAAAAGTTATATCGTATCGTATTCGTAATTTACGTTCATTCTATGTAGCGGCGCACATTTATTCTGTTTACCAATGTGCTTCAATAATAAAATACAACAAGGATTTAAGATTTCATAAATTTCCCCGTGACACGAGCTAAGTTTATTACTATAATTTAGTTAATAAAATATAAAATAACGTAATATAACGTAACGTAATATAATATTAATGGAAAATGACCTCGTTGGACAGGCAGAATACGGTTGCTCGCTTCTTCAGTACTGTGTGCGTACACCTTATCATTTTGTTTGTTGTAGCTCTCTTCTACGGTAAAAATGTTTTCATCCGAAAAAAGAATTTCCCGATATTTTTTTCCCGCGTACCGCTTCAACAAAGCGCGGCATCTCTTCAGTCTCAGGTCCATTAGACGAGCATTCAAACGATGTCCTGTTTTTCTTCGATATGCGCGAAGCCCTAAGTCTTCATTTAACACCCTTTTCACCGTGGTTCTGCTTAACCCCATCTGAAGGGCCAACAGTTTCTGCTTACGTTTGGGATTTCTTTGAATTCGCGCCTTCACAGCTTTTATCACTGCTGGAGTCCTAATAGACCGAGGGCGACCACTTCTTGACCTGTCATCTACACTAAAGTCTTCATTGTATCGTTTGATGGTACGATAAACGAATCTTTTGGTTATATTCAAAATTTTCAGTATGTTAAAAATTTAAATTGGCCCGTAACCGCAACGATGCAACGCAATAACTGCAACACGGTCTTCTTTAAGCGTCCACTCCATATTTAAAAATGAGTAAAATTCTAAAAGTATACATTTTTATTTTCATGAACAATTCGAAATTCGAATTCAATAAACTTTTTTGTGGCCNCCGATATTTTTTTCCCGCGTACCGCTTCAACAAAGCGCGGCATCTCTTCAGTCTCAGGTCCATTAGACGAGCATTCAAACGATGTCCTGTTTTTCTTCGATATGCCCGAAGCCCTAAGTCTTCATTTAACACCCTTTTCACCGTGGTTCTGCTTAACCCCATCTGAAGGGCCACCAGTTTCTGCTTACGTTTGGGATTTCTTTGAATTCGCGCCTTCACAGCTTTTATCACTGCTGGAGTCCTAACAGACCGAGGGCGACCACTTCTTGACCTGTCATCTACACTAGAGTCTTCATTGTATCGTTTGATGGTACGATAAACGAATCTTTTGATTATATTCAAATTTTTCAGTATGTTAAAAATTTGAATTGGTGCGTAACCGCAACGATGCAACGCAATAACTGCAACACGGTCTTCTTTAAGCGTCCACTCCATATTTAAAAATGAGTAAAATTCTAAAAGTATACGTTTTTATTTTCATGAACAATTCGAAATTCGAATTCAATAAACTTTTTTGTGGCCAGCATTCTAAAAGAAAAGTTTTTACTGTGTGACAATACTTATGACCTGACTAGGTAATTAACAAACAAATAAGTTCATAAAATTAATATTTAATAAGACATCTACAATATTTGGAGAAAATTGTCGAATCTTTTTTAATTTTTATGCGTAGATGCCTATTTATAACTATTTTTAGATAACTTATATACCTGAGTGACCTACGAAAAATTTTAGCCCATCAAAGGTATTTGAAATATATGAAATATACATGAAAATCGGCCAAAAGTTAGTTATTATAAATATAAATTATTTTTCCTTTCATTTTTATAATATTCCCCTCCTTTTCTAATGGGTTTCATGCTACTATTATTTTTTTTGGTTTTAAAAATTGTCGACCCTGGTCTATAAAGATAAAACGCCAATAGCATCCGGATCGACAAATGCAACGGCAATGTTTTACGACTTTTACGTTGTCCTTACGTACCCGTGCGAACATTGACGAAAACGTTCGATAGACGAGCATAAGGCTCACATTAGAGGATTACAACCAAGTCAAAAGAAAAGTATCCCAGAGGTCTCTCTATTCGCACACTGTTGTTCAGTGCACAGAAGTCTTCAACAAGAAGCTTTCTGTTGACCTCAAAAAATGAATTCTAAGCACACAGGAGTTTTATTGATTTCTTGTTCAAGTTTGAGGTCTGCTGTTTTACGTTTGGTTGCCTAGGCTTTATCGATTTCGTTTTATGTTAAAGATTTTATGTCAGCAAAGTGAAAAAGACGTTGCCGGTATTATTATCGTATATTATAGAGTTATGGATTACGACATGTGTAGAATTGACTACTTTATAAGCGGAATCACATATCCTGACACTCTAAAAATTTTACCATCTCAAGGACAGAAACTGGAACAGAAGGTACCTATCACAAATTGCTTTAACGCTTAACGTTTTTAAGGACAACTTAAAACTTGAGACAATCGTAATTAATAATGTGAATCACATTTAATATAATATCAACCAATTCTATTATTAGAATATTGTTAGATTAATTCATACAATTTAAAAATAACCAAATATCTATCGATGGGGAATGTTCACTCATAAATATCTCACTTCCCAATTATAATTTTTATTAAACACAAATATGTACATTAAATACAAAGAACGAACGATATAAATATTGGTTTTATGGTATTACAAAGCGTCAAACCGGCAGAACCTGTACACCCGACAAAATTACATTATACAAAAGTAAAATTACAAAATTACAAAGTATTCGAACTTATTTTTGAAAAACACCTGTTATTACCTGGAGGATTTTTCGGGCTTACCAGGACGAGGTGTCAGGAAATCTGTTCTCGTTTTCCTTTGGAGGAGGAGATTTTTATAGGATATCAGATAATAAAGTCACCATTCCTAGAAAGTACCCACAAATAAAAGCGAAAGACGGTGAAATATGAGGATCTAGAGAAAATTATTTTTAATAACTTGTTCAAAAGGTTTTTGGGACCTTCGTCGTAAACAAAAAAAAACAATTATCATGTTTTATTTCATGTAAAGAAACCGTTTCCGAAGTCATTACCAATAGCATAAAGTAAACGGAATACAATATTTATTTAATAAACTAAAAGTCAATTTAAGCATTAATTGTAAATAAGCAGGTATTAACTTACAATTTCTACTAGTTCTTAGTATTACGTAGGTATTTCGTGAACTCGTAAATTAGCGAAAACTCAACAGACTGTCCTCTGCGATTCCCCTAGAATCGACAGTCAGACACAGTCAAACACAGTCAGACAGAGTTGGTATATACCATGTGTTAGGTAATTCATTTTAAATCTTGTCAAAATGTATGCAATGTAAAAACACATTGTTATACCTTGTATTTAAGATATCAAGTTCACAATTTCCGAGACAAACAGTCAAATTAATATATAACAAAATAAAAACGATTTTACAAACGATTTGATCTTATCTACAGTTCTGAAAATTAACTTCATAATTCTACTGATATGCTTTCTTTAAAGGTCGTAGTTGGGGATAAAACCGGAGTTCTGCAATGTTTGACCATAAGAGACGAAGAACCAGTCATTCAATTTAAGACATTGCCAGGCAAACCAATTACCGCCGTACAATTGACTTCTACAAACGGTAATAGCACCTACTTTTTATTTTCGGGTGCTGGGGGGTTGAAGGGTTGCTCAGCGTAGTTTTAATCCATACCTTCAGCCATATTTTCAAATGCACATAATTAAAATCAACCCGTCATAACTTTCCCTAAAAAAAATTGTCATTGACGGAGTTGGTGTCGGTTTTTTGAGTTAGATAGGAAGTCGCCAGCGTTCCGCTTACGCTTTGAAGGTGATCGGCATGGCACGTTAGAGTAAAACCGACTAAAACCCCTGTTGCTTAATGACCCCCGTCTGAGGCGTCGCAGGGTGGTAGTAAGGCGAACTACGCGTAGCGTATATCTGTCTAGCCCCTTGCCTCCACGGGACGTCGAAACACCATGTCTATCCGTCGGCAGGGTATCCGAAGCCTGCATATATGGCGCCACCAACCCGTACTCCCGGGATACCCACTGAAATAGAATCCATCCTGCGGGGTGAGAATACAATCCACTTCCAATCGATTGACCTTTACCTCACCATAAGCATTTATCTCAACAAAAACAGGATATTATTAAGTTAGTAGGGGAGACCGGGGCAAGATGAGATAGCTAAGACAAAACTCGCTGTACAAAGACAATTATACTCTTTAATTAAATTCTTTACGAAAACAAGTAACGCTTATACATTTGTCTCTTAAAATTAATAATTTTATCATGCAAAATCACAGAATTTTTTTGACAAATAATGATTAACGATAATGAGGCGAATTTCCCGTCTTGCCCAGAAGTTACAACTATATGTACTTATACTTTTTTTATACCACTAAGTCGGCAAAGAAGCTTACAGTTCGCCCGATGGAAAGCGGTTACCGTAGCCTATGGACGGTTGCAAAACCAGGTTGCAATACTATCGATAGGTAAGTAGGTACACAGAAGGTATTATTTAAACGACGAGGAAGGGGCAAAACAGGATAGTATCCCGTTATGCCCCGATCATTGTGCCCTCTGAGTGTTATAGTACTAAAACACGCTGAGGATTAAAACATTATATTAATTCAAGTACTTACATGTCTGCACATGAGTTTCTTAACCAAAAACCGGATAAAAACACTTGCAAAATCAGTTTTTTTCCTATACAACCCAAAAACGAGATCCAACACGTTCGCTCAGCTCGGACGCACTTGCGCAATCTGAATTTCGTGCAAATGGCGCCGTTACCGGTCCGAACACGATTACCATTCATGGATACAAGCTTACTTCCCGTCCTGCACCGAACTTCATCTTGCCCCGGTCTCCCCTACTACTACTACCATTAATGAAACTAAGAATACCATTCGGTCGGTTTCTATTAAGGTACATTATTCAACACATGATAAATGCGTAAGTAAAAATCTTATCTTTTAGGTACGCAACCAGACAAAATATTTGCAGCATCGGGTAATGAGGTTAAAGGTTACACCAAAAAAGGCAAAGTATTTTTCTCTATTGAGACAGCATTGTCGGAGCCTGTGACATCTATGTAAGTAATTCAGGATTAAACAAAAAAAAAACAATTGAATAATAAAAGCGTACGATCCTAAATAAGTCCCATGAATGCCCAGTTTGTATGTTTCTAGGTGTGTTTTCGGTGGTGATCTCATACTATGCAGTGGACGGACCATCACATTTTATCGTGATTCGAAGGAACATCAGTCATATGTTTGTAAAGATAGAGTTTTGGATATGGCAGCCTTTATTACACCGAATGTTTGTATTATTTCTACTTATCACTATATAGCATAAAACAAAGTCGCTTTCTCTGTCTCTATATCTGTCTGTCCCTATGTATGCTTAAATCTTTAAAACTACGCAACGGATTTTGATGCGGTTTTATTTATTAGATAGAGTGATTGAAGGGGAAGGTTTATATGTATAATAACGTTCATTAAATAGTGGAGAAATCAATAATAAATTACAGTTTCCGAAGCGAAGCGAGGGCGGGTCGCTAGTATTAAAATATTTTACAATGCAGCAAAGGCGGTTTCATAATTTAATTCAAATATTAACTTCAATTTATTTTTATAATTTTCCCGAAGACCGTGTTATTTATAGAAAAAATACATAAGAGTAACATTCATTGAATTCGAATGTAGCTTAAAACCTGTATCATTCTTGTAAAATAAACCGTCTTGCACATTTGGGCCGTAAAACCATAATAATTGACATTTAAACTTTGAGGGTGAGGTTGACATGGGTAATATTGAATAACTAAATTAGATAATAAGTATTGAAAACTCACTTTATAGAATTAGTTTATACTGTATTGACAGAATGCTAAGGTGCGACTGCTTCTTTTGATTGCACATAAAGGCGCGGGCATATTAGAGAATGGACATCTGGTAGCTCACATAGCTATATCTTCTGGTCCCTCTCGATTAGCGACACCGCCTGTTGCTCAAGTTGCAGAAATTAAATGTTTCTATGGTGCGGCCGATGGTTCTGTGGGTATTATTACCTATGAAGAGTAAGTAAATTGAAATGTTTTATCGGTAAATTAAACAATATTTTAATATTTGTAAATTATTTATTATTATCCATTTGCCAGTATAAAATTCTATCAAATCTTTTCAGAACGACACTTTCAAACAATTGTCTTGTAGAAGGCCGAGGCCTAGGTTCTGTAGTGTGCCTTGGATGGTTTTATTCTAATGCAAATCTCCACCTCGCTGTAGGGCGAAACGATGGATCTGTTCAGCTATATCTCATAGACGTTGAGAATCTGCATCTCAAACCAAGACTCAAATTTACATATGTACGTATATGTATACAAATTATTAATATATATTTCCATTGATTAATTACATGATACGATCTTTAATCGCTTCGTTGTTCTATTGGTTACGTAATGACCATGGTAACACTATCATGTTGTTAGGAATTAAATGCCGATCGAAAACGAAGGCTTTTGGGTTTTCTTATCGATTATTATATCAGGATAATAAGACGGGATTGTCGATAATCTCGTTTTCACGGATCGTTTGGAACCTCTGGGTCTGCGGAGGGACTTCGTTTCTCTCTTCATTTTGTACCATATGTTCCATGGGATTGGTCTAAGGAATTGTTTGAGGTGATTCCATCATCTCGTTTTTACTATCGCACCGCCCGCCGCCGGAGTAGAGTTCATCCATACTACTTGGAGCCACTGCGTTATCATCCACAGTGCGTTTTTTTTATTCCTTAGATGGGTGGACGAGCTCACAGCCCACGTGGTATTAAGTGGTTACTGGAGCCCATAGACATCTACAATAAAATGCGCCACCCACCTTGAGATATAAGTTCTAAGGTCTCAAGTATAGTTACAACGGCTGCCCTACCCTTCAAACCAAAACGCATTACTGCTTCACTGCAGAAATAGGCAGGGCGGAGATACCTACCCGCGCGGACTCACAAGAGGTCCTACCACCAGTAATTACGCAAATTATAATTTTGCGGGTTTGATTTTTGTTACACGATGTTATTCCTTCAACGTGGAAGTCAATCGTGAACATTTGTAAAGTACCTACGTATTTCATTAGAAAAATTGATACCCGCCTGCGGGATTCGAACACCGGTGCATCGCTAGATACGAATGCACCGGACGTCTTATCCTTTAGGCCACGACGACTTCAATCATCGACGACGAAGACGAGATTTTTTTTGCCACGTACCTACCACCCGGCTTTGGAATGAACTCCCCTCCACGATGTTTCCCGAGCGCTATGACATGTCCTTCCTCAAACGAGGCTTGTGGAGAGTACTCAACGGTAGGCAGCGGCTTGGCTCTGCCCCTGGCATTGCTGAAGTCCATGGAGACGGTAACCACTCACCATCAGGTGGGCCGTATGTTCGTCTGCCTACAATAGGCAATAAAAAAAAAAGATCGGGAGAAAATTTTAACCGGTAGGAATCTTGTAAGAACGTTGAACTTTTATATGTCTACTAATAATTATTTACGTACCTAAGTATTCGTTTCTAATAACACTTGTAATTTCAGTTTTCTGGCGAACCTGTCACGTCGGTTGTTGGTGGATGTGTAGGTACGGATGAAGGAGAATTACTAGTTGCAACTTTCTCAGGCCGAATATTCGCACTAAGGTCAAAGTTCCTTATTGCTGGTTCGGTTACAAAAGCCTCTCATGAAAATCTAGCAGCGCGACGATCAAAATTGGAGTACGTTGAAGTCGTTTATTTTAATAAAATTTCAATAATTAGTGTCTTTGATTAAATAATTAACGACTACAATCTCTACTTAATAGAATTGAAATTGTTCGATTAGAAAAACAAACTGCCAATGAAAGAGAAAAATATCAAAGGAATTCGAGATCATTACAGGCAGGACTTTCAACACCACCTCTTCTTGATATTGAGCACAAGGTAATTTAATTGTAATGCTTAGGATAGCAATAGCAGCCCCACTGAAAGGTCAATTTACATATTTTTTATTATTATTTCAAGATGTCAGGAGCGACACGAGAGGGTTGGCAAGAGGTTGATATAACATTAGCAGTACCATTGGACATGTTGTTCATTTATTGTAGTAAGAAACTAAAATTGCTGACTGACAGCGCTGCCGTCCTCAGCGTGTGCTCATCGCAGGTTATAAAATTTTACTCAAAGAAGGACTATAGCACAATATACTTAATTAATTAAGGTTTTTTTTATAATATACATATTTATGAAAACAATTGTTAATATTAAACAGGATTCGGCGTCCGATTTGTTAGCAACTGTAAGATGTCAAGCAGGTACGAGGCGTATTTGGCTCCGTTTGCGTGTTGCATCAACTAATTCAACGGTTTTAGAGTCCACACGCGTATTAATATACGCATTACCGACAGGCGCGCCAAGAGTTGCAAGACTTTTATCAATAAAGCTACCAGCATTGCCGTACTATTCACAGCACGAGGAATTTGATGAAAATAATGATCACAGCATAAAGTTGGTAGATACCAATCAATAACATTATTTTTGAATATCTTGTACCTATAGGAATTTAATTTTGAACTATTGTCTAGGTCTTGGTGTCAACTCCACGTAACGGGTGGTTTTTCCGTTGCTGAAATGACTTTCTGGCTATCAGATATTTTACCCGGTGATTTACCGAGGCCTGCGTCAAATGTGGCTTTTTTACGTGTTCATTCTCTTTTGGGAACGAAATTATATTGCCAGTATCAGTAGGTATCATCACTATCATTACTTCAACCTACTGTTGGTACAAGCTATGGGGTATATTTCCAGAAGCCTGTACCTACAGTAAGGTTAGTAAATTTTTCACCTCGTTATTTTCAGACGAGGTTCAGCTGTATTTAAGTCAAACAATATTTCTACTGTATCATCTGTGAGAAGTATTATATCAAATTGTTCAATAGACAAAAGAATAAGAGTGGAAATATCGTGCGGTATGTATTAATTTCGACATGGACTCAATAAATGAATAATGTATAAGTTGCTAATAATAATTATAAATGTTTTTTACTTAAGTACCTATATGAATATAATATTTTTATTATATTCTCTAGGTGGCTGGACCAGTTTACAGTTGAAATTGTGGATGTGGTTGCCGGAACATGTACATAGATCAGAGTGGATGACGCCGACCACCTCTCCAACTCGAAGTCTCAGTATTGTACAGGCTCCACCCAAAACAGGAACGAATGACCACTTCCCAGTTGAAATGGGCAGTTTATTTACCGTTAATTTAAAAAAAACTGTTTCAGTGTCCTGACTGAAGAGTTTTCGGTACTTTAACCGAATTTTTCGGTTACTTTCCTTTACGGTTCGTCGATTTTGGGTCAGGGTGGGGGTGGGGGAGGGAGGGGGTAAGGGTTTACCCCCTGCACCATTCCCACCCCGCGTAACCCCATGGTTATGAAGATATCCACGGTGAATTTTTTTGATTAAAATTGCATTATATTTTAGTCAAACTCGAAGGGAGCTTAAGTTTGAATCCGCCTTATCTCCGGCGCTGCGGGAAGAGCAGCCCTTCCGCCCTTGCGTGCCGAAGCACGGTCACACGTGCTCCGCTTCGCAGCTTCGGCTTGTTGGTCGCCTACGGCGACCAGCCTCAGGAGCTCCGCCTCGCACTGTTTCCGTACTCCGTCACAACGGGCGAGGACTGCTCTCCCTCCGTACCTCCGTTTTTTTATATACACTCTAGGGGTAGGGCAGACAAGACCAGNGCTGCGGTCCACGGTCGAGGGGCACTTGGCGAGGCCGTGGCCGGTGCCGAAGCACCGAAGACAACGCCACGGCCTGCTCTCCTGCAGTTGCACGTGGGCCACTACCCAGCCCACGCGCAGCCATCCTGGGCTGTCCGAAGGCCGACCCTGTGGAGGAGTGGCCAGGAGGTTCGCCGTTGCGATGGGGCAACGCGCCCACGCCGTCCGGATTCCGGAGTACGTCACCCGGAGCTCCCCGACTTTGACGTCGGCGAGGGCGCAGTTGCCCTGCGACGCAATGGCCGCGGCGACCTCCTCCTTCGTGGCACATTCGTCGAGGCCCGTAATTTTCACCTCCGCCATTTTTACGGGCCGCGCGATGCGCACCACCTCGGGGTCCGGCAAGATTTCCCGCAGACGGACCGCCAGTTTTTCTGCCGCGGCGCTGGAATTCGCACCGGGACATTCCACTAGGCGGGCCCCGTTGGCCGTCTGCCGGACCCTCAGGCCACCCTCCACGCCGAGGGCGTCCACATTTACGCCGCCGCGCGCCTGGGTCATCACCTCGTGGTAGGTGATGCCCTTTTCTTTGCCGGCCGGCAGCAGCTCCACTACCACTGCAGCCGACCGCGGGGCGCGCGGCCTCCTTCGTCCAGTCCGGCCCCTAGGCTCCGCTCGACCCTCTTGGCGGGGAGCGGTGGCCGCAGGGGCGGGCTTGGGACGCGGCGCAGGAGGCACCGCTACTTTCTTAGGCCCACGCCGCACTACCGTCGTCCAGGCCTCATCCATATTTGCTGGGGCCGGGGGCAGAGGGCGGGGCTGGGGAGTCGGTGCCGGTTTGGCGGCGTTGACGCCCCCCTTCTTCTTGGTCCGGCTCCTGCCGGGCCCCGCCTTCGCAGGCTGGGACGGGGCAGGAGCAGTCTTCTGCGTCATACGCTGGCCGGTGCTTTGTGCTCCTGAGGGAGCGGGTTTTGGTGCCCCCGTATCTTTTTGGGTCCCCGATGGTCCTGGTTTGGCCGGAACAGAAGCCGAAGCAGCCGGACGTGCCGCGGGTGTCGCGCCCTTTTTAGGGCCGCTATACATTTTAGCGGCCACAGTCCTGCGGGGTGCCAGTGTAGGAGCTCCGTTTTTCACCTCATGAGCGAGGGGCGGTCTTGCGCGCTCAACGTTCGAACTCCTTGCCTCCTGTATAAGGAGCTGCCGCCTCAGCTCCTCGACCTCAGTGAGGCCTTCTGCTTCGGGCGGAGGAGGGACAGGGGCCGAGCTGCGTTGCCGCTCGATGAGATCGGCAACCATTGTTCGCAGCTCGGCCATGTCGACGCGGAGCTGTCCGTTCTCCGCCCGAAGTTGGCCATTCTCATCCGCCAGTTGTTCGAGGCGGGCGTGCTGCAGGGCCACTTCTTGTCACAATCCCGCCGTTTCCACGGTTGTGGTGCGGTCCACAACGTCCTGCAGCCTTTCTTCGAGCGTGGCGGCCGCCGATTTCATGGCCGACAATTCCGAGCCCTTGAGGCCTGCAGTGGATTTAGCCGCAATGGTCGCGACTATTCTCCCGACTATTCCACAAGCTCGGAGGGGGTCAGAAGGTCCCACCTCCGTCAGGGATCGCTGTAGGCGCTCGATTTCCTCCAGCTTCCTATTCTTTTTTTTCGCCTCACGGCAGGCGGCCCTGGACTGCGCCGAGGAGGCAGCGTCCAGTCCGAAAGTCGACGGCTTGTCAGAATCAGTGGCGGGCGGCCCCGCAGCAGCCGCCGGCCCTTTCGCCAACGCCATATACTTGGCGCTGGCAGGCTCTCCTTCCAATGAATCGGACGGAGCGGAGGACGCCGGCCGACGAGCCGACTTCCGCTTCCGCCGAGTCCGCTGCCGATCACAATCGGCAAACAGCGCCGGTGTCTCCCTCCCACTGGACGCGTCGCCCCTCGCGGAGCTTCGCGCCGAGTGCAGCGAAATGAGGCTGTCGCACCTCTCCAGCAGCACGGTGGGGACTTTGTCCCTTACGCGACCCGTGTTGTCGCCCCCTTGGTCGTGGCAGTGTTTGCCCCCCCCAGAAACGGTGGGGCAGCGTGCGGCCGATCGCTCGACCGCACGGAGGGATTCTCCCCCCGCGGAGCGGGAGGTACTGTTACACACTACTCTACAAAGCAGCTTTGCCCGAATCAGCTCGTTTACGAGCTCACGGTGTTTTTCCACTAGAGTCATCATTTTTAGCTTTCATGTAAAATCAAATCGTATTGAAAATCAGTTAGAATCTGGAAGCCGTCGCGAGCATACATAAGTTAGAATCTGGAAGCCGTCGCGAACATACATAAATTTGAGAAGTCAACAATAGTGTTGTAAAATTGTGAAGTCTAATAAAAGACAGTTTAGTCGTGAAAAGTTTTTGTGTTTTTTTTAAAAAGAAGTTTGAGAAAGGCCGTGTAACAGTACCCTTACTTATAAATTAATGTTAAATTTTTTACCGTGTCCTAATTGAAAACCATTGAATAGCCAACNAAAAACAAAAAAGGGGGAAGAAAGGGGAAAAGAGAGGGAGCCCGAGCGTCTCCAGGAGGAACACCCTTCAGCGAGTGAAGGGCGTGGAGAGCCCGCAACTCCCCCTGCTGGTTTTGGTCCGCGTCATCCGATCTCTTTCGTTGCAAAGCCTAACTAGGCTATCCTACACCTACACCTAACCTACCTCCCTAACACCTAAGAATCCTTGCAACGAAAAAGATCGGACGATACCCCTGGGAGTGGGACTGTTCCCAGAGGATCCCGTTATCCGCCACCTACGGACGCACCCGGTGGAAGTCCAGCAAAACTCCCCCACAGACGGAGCCCCCGGCCACGCAGAGTGCGCGCCGGGGGGCCCGCCCAGGTCCCTCGGGAACCTTTAACCCTATGTTAAAAAATATATGTATTTTTTTTAATTAAAAGTAAATAATATTTTTCAAAAAATGTACAGATGTGCGATTTCATTGCACCCGAGTGTATTTAGATGACGTCATAATTTTCTCAACATTATTACAGGAAAAATGTAAACAAATATTTGAGAGATTCTATAATCTTAAAATTCAATTAGATAAATCCGAATTTCTTCAAAAACAAGTGAAATTTTTAGGACACACCTTAACAGATAAAGGCATTAAGCCAAATGACGATAAAATAAAAGCGGTAACAAAATTTCCGTTACCAAAAACTCAAAAAGAAGTTAAATCATTTTTAGGTTTATTCGGTTATTACCGAAAATTCATTCGATTCGAATTATATACAAGCCTTTGAAAAATGCAAGGACGTTCTAACAAACGCTCCTGTATTACAATACCCGGATTTTGACAAACCATTCATTTTAACAACAGATGCGTCAGACGTAGCATTAGGCGCAGTACTTTCACAAGGTCAAATAGGTTCAGATAAACCCATAGCATACGCTTCACGTACGTTATCGGAAACCGAACAGAGATACTCAACAATAGAAAAAGAATTGTTAAGTATTATTTGGGCTACAAAATATTTTCGACCATATTTATATGGTAAGAAATTCACCATATATACCGATCATCGACCATTATGTCAATAAAAGACCCCAATTCTAAACTAACAAGATTGCGATTAAAATTGGCGGAATATAATTTTGACGTACATTACAAAAAGGGAAAATCAAACACAAATGCGGATGCCCTTTCGCGCATTCAGATTATACACCATAATAATGAAATTAACCAACCGCAACCTAGTACGTCCACTGATGATTTAGATATAGAGAACATAGACATTCGAACACTATTAGACATGCCTATTACACCTGACAATGTAGATAAAAACAACTCTAAAAATTCACAAGATACACTAAATGAACAGAATTCAGAAAATAAAATTCGTGAAATTAATGACGCAATAGATAGACAATTAAAACAATTTCATATTCGAAAAACACCTGGTGATTCATACCGAATAGAGGACAGATCAAAAGGTAAAATGATAATAAAAAACGTATGGATTCCTATTAATAACACAAAAAATCAAATTATTCAATTCTTAAAAGAACATACAATACCTGATAGAACTTTTTACTTTTTCTTCCATCATGAGGACTTCATTCCCATTTTTAATTATGTATACAAAACTATTTTTAATAACAGAGGACCTAAATTAATTAGATGTCTAACTAGAGTAACATTAATCGAAAATATTAATGAACAAAATCAATTAATTTGTAAGTATCATGAAGGAAAAACTCTACACAGAGGTATTCAGGA